TCATTTCCTCCATAAAGTTTTTTCTCAATCCTAAACGTAGAATCAAAAAATCTCTTCTTTGTGGTTTTTCTCACAAGGTGTGTGGACATGCCTATTCTCCCTCCTTATCAGACTCCCCTGAGAGAATTAAACAACCCCTCTTGTAAGTGCTTTCCTGTTACAGTGCTTGGGGCTTGCCTTTCTCCCACTATCTGGGGATGAGCTCCTTATGAGCAGGGCCTCCTTGTGTTTGTATCTCCAGGCCTTTGTCTTTGTCATAAAGGAATTTATAATATATTCTTCAAATAAATTTTAAATATTCTGTTCTCTAAATTTTCTAGCATCTTGAATATTATTCACATTGCAAAAATCATAGCATCTTGCTAAGATTGCTCAAAATTATTTTTGTTGTTGGAATTATATTTTCAGTGTTTTTCAACTTTGTATCACTCATTATTTTCATTCAAACTAATAATTAAAAAGAATATACATCTTCAGGGGCGCCTGGGTGGCTCAGTCAGTTGAGCATCTGACTTCAGCTCAGGTCATGATCTCACAGTTTGTGGGTTCAAGCCCCACGTCTGGCTCTGTGCTGACAGCTTAGAGCCTGCTTTGGATTCTGTGTCTCCCTCTCTCTGCTCCTCTCCCACTTGCATTCTTTCTCTGCCTCTCAAAAATGAATAAACGTTAAAAAAAGAAGAATATACATCTTCTAAGCTTTCAAAACAAATGGATCATAGAATCCTTAAATGAATATTCCATTTGGGATAAAAATACAGGTGAAAATAATTAAAATGTGATCACAAGTCCATTCTATAGATCACAAAAGTAATGAAGATTGTTTCCTGTTCTTACTGTGCTTCAAAGCACCTGGAACACTTAAAAAACTAGAGACCCCTGAGTCCCACTTAGAATCTCCTTTGTGAAGCTAGGGAATCTTTATGTAAAATCTTTCATATATTTATGTGAAACAAAACATTCAAAATATTCTCCACCTGATTCTGATCCAGTCAGTCCCTAAAATACAACTTGGAAATCATGGTTTTAAGGGATCTGAGGTAATTTTGATACACAGTTAAGATCAGAAACTGCATTTTCAAAACTAAATCACAAATAGTTTAACAATGATTAAAACTTCAATTTATTATTTTAACATCTCTTTACCAAGTAGACAGCTAAAAATCTACAAAGCCAGAATTTGAAACCAGGAGTTACTCTTCACTAATCCCATCCTTTTTATCCTTCATGTGGCTGCCCTGAATGCTATACTACTTAAAGGTGCCATAAATAGCATGGTTACTGTTATATCAGGTAATATTTACAAGAAGATTTTAATGAAAATTAAAAATGTGCAGGGATGCCTGGGTGGCTCAGTCGGTTGACATCCAACTCTTAATTTTGGCCCAGGTCAGGATCTCAGAGGTAAGATGAGATAAGATAAGATAATAAATATAAGATAGGATAATTTTTGAAAAATAGAAATAAAAAATTTTTTAATGTGCACGTGTTCCAAAATGTATATTCTTGTTGCTTGGCAATCAAACCTTAATTAATTAAAGATTAGTTTACAGAAGCATGACAGCTGTCTGGTCTCATGATTAATGTGTAATTTTAAAGAGAAAATAGAAACATCACTGAAGAAATACTCCTTTACTTTGAAATTTCTGAGATTAATCCAATTAAACTATCTCAACATTGTCAACAAATGAATGAGCTCCTTTTGATCCTCTTTTCATTTTAACATTTAGGTGACATGTATACGCTATAACCAGAAAAAAAAATAGGTAACTCTAAATACATTTAACTAAAGTACTCCAGGTTGATTCTGGACTCTTTCACATTAGTGATTTATTTCCATCTCTAGATTTGACAGCATACATCCCTATGTTGCTTTCATGGGCCAGAGCACTGAAGACCTCGAATGTACCTAGCTTCTTTAACACTTGGTTACCAATTACAATGTAAATACGTTATTGTGGAATAGGGCGGATCAAAGGGTTGGACCACACCTCTTAATGTGGAAAAGAAGTAATGCCAAATGACTCATTTAATAAGAGGACCAGCTTTTTAAAAAAGCATTTGTTTAGTTTGTTCATGTCTATATCCATGGTTTCTAGAAATTCAGAAAGGTAGATTACTAGGGAAGAGCAATTTGTTTTTGACTCTGCAAAAGGGTGCCCACCACCCTTCTCTATATGCCCAGCCTCCTGTATTTTCCCTTTGGGTACTGTTCTTTTCCTGACCAATTACGTATTTGTCGTTTGTCTCTAACCACTGGTATACAAGTTCCATGAAACTAGAGACTATGTGTGTCTGTTTACTGTGCTTTTTTTTTTTTTTAATGTTTATTTATTTTTGAAGGAGAGACAGAAAGTAAATGGGGAGGGGCAGAGAAAGAGGGAGACATAGAATCTAAAGCAGGCTCCAGGCTCCAAGCTGTCAGCACAGAGCCTGATGTGAGGCTCAAACTCACAAGCCGTGAGATAATGACCTGAGCTGAAGTCAGATGCCCAACCGACTGAGCCACCCAGGTGCCCCTGTTTACTGTCTTCTCAAACACTATCTGCTTATTAGAAATTCATAATAAATAGTTTTAACATAATTAATATATATGACTAAGATAATTTCAGCTTACTGAATGCACTAGTGAATGATGTTTAGAAGTATATGTTTTCCAGGGCCCCTGGGTGGATCAGTTGATTAAGCGCCCGATTCTTGTTTTTGGCTCAGGCCATGCATGATCTCAGTCTGTGGGATTGAATCATGCATGGGGCTCCATGCTTGACAGTACAGGGCCTGCTTGGAATTCTCTCTCTCTCTCTTTCTCTTTCTCTCTCTCTCTCTCACACACACTCAAAATAAAGAAATAAGCCTTAAAAAAGTATAGCTTCTCTAACATGAGATCTGTCTATCATCTATCTATCTATCTATCTATCTATCATCTATCTATCATCTATCTATCAATCTATCTATCTATCTATCTGTAATGTACATATATAATGTAGTTACCACAACAACTGTCTCTGAACCTTCCTTATTCTCTCCTCCCCCAAATACATATCCATTCCCACCTTACACACACACACACACACACACACACACACACACCATGATTGCTTTCATACACCATACAGTTAGATATCTCCAATTGTTGTTTCTTCCTGAATTTTGTGGTTTTGGAGTTAACAAGTCAGCCTGGGGGAGTTGACTCCATAGCTCAGCATCATGGTGGTACCCGTTAGCTAGTGTCTGGGCCTTAGATGATGGAGGTTCTTGAGTACACCAGGAAGCTTTCCAAGAGCTATATTCCCAGGGGTGACACAGCATTTTTGTGATTTATAACATTCTTCCAAAGATTATTGTAATCCATGGGGTCATCACCTATGGATATTTCCATTGCAGGGAAATAGGTTCTATGTGCCAGATGACAAAAATCTGAAATGATATCTGTGACAAGGCATAGGATAAATGGTAGAAGAGAACTACTAGTTTAGTAGGGTTACTTGATGCAGCAAGGTACCTGATGTTCTAAACAATGGTTTAGTGTTCTCTAAAATGGGGATCATTATACCTATTTGATAAAATTGTTGTAAGGACCAAATCAAATCATATTATCTCTAAAGCACTGCTTGGCACCATCCAAATACTCTAAATGGCAGTTATTTAAGTAAAATTTTCTTTCAGTCTCCATGAGGGCACTCAATTTAGTGCTAGAAGTACAGTACCACTAAAGTACTGTTGATTTGTAAAATCTATCCTGTCACACTGCTTTAGAAACCCTTCTATAATCATCTTACTTGATAAATGGAGCTTGGAAAAGAACATGTTACAGGTCAGGACAAGTTTGGCACTCATGAATTCAAGGTAATCTTGTTCTAAAATTTTTAAAAAATCACAGTTTGTGTATATAGCTAAAGATTAAAACAATGACCACAACAAACTACACAAGAGGTAAAATGAGACTGTTTATACTCAATATAATCTTTCTGGCTCAGGATAATGCTTTAGAGAAGAGGTAGGTTTGAATCATGGCTAACATGAATACTTACAATAGTTCTAATGAAAGAACTGTTAGGGCACATGAACAATTTTTGAGTGTCCAGATACCTACCTTTTAATTTTGCATGCCAACAGGTAGTTACTGGAATTTATAATCTAAAGAATAATTTGTTGAATTAAGAAGTTATATAGTTATATTGAAAAGCAACTTACTTTTGGATTCAACAGATTTGACTTACCAGTCTTACTGTAACACCGAACCAATCTTGTTCTTTAGGAGTACAAACTACCACACAGTGTTTGTCTTAATTTGGAAAATTCATTGTCAGTAATAAAGAAGAATTCAGACTTCTACTTAGACTTCCAGTATAGTTAAAAGCATATATAACTTGGGGATCAAATTCCAGGTCAGCTATTGATTAGTTGAATGACTTTTCTTGAAAAAACATTTTTCATTTTTTTTAGTCTCATTTCCCCGATTTGTAAAATGGAAATAAAGACAGTTACCAGAATAAAATAAGATAAACACACACACACACACACACATTTGTAACATGTTTATATTACAGATGATATGCATTTAGTGTGTGTATGTGTGTGTGTGTGTGCGCGCGCGCGTGTGTGTGTATGTAAAGCGCCATATAGTGAGTTTTAAAGCGTGCTTCTGTTTAATTAAAAATGTAGCCACTTTGGGGCACATGGGTAGCTCAGTGGGTTGAACATCAGATTTTGGCTCAGGTCATGATCTCATGGTCCGGTGAGTTGGAGCCCCACATCTGGCTCTGCTAACGGTTCAGAGCCTGGAGCCTTTTTTTGGATTCTGTGTCTCCCACTCTCTCTCTCTCTCTGCCCTTTCCCTGCTCGTGCTTTGTCTCTCTTGTTCTCAAAAATAAATAAGCATAAAAAAATTTTTTAATGTAGCCAGTTTGTAGAATACACTTCAGATGTTTCATTGAATAGTGTAAATGCAGCCTTTTCTCAAGAAAAGAATGACATTCGCTATTTGTTTTCTCTCATTACAGGCTTATGAAAAAATTGCTTACCTTCTCACCAACTTAGGTAAGTCCTTTGTTTTTACTTCGTTCCTTAATTAAAGAATAGCATATGTGCATATCAGCCTGTAGTTGCTTTAGCATTTTTAAATGTTTATTTATTTATTTTGAGACAGAGAGTGAGAGTGCACACAAGCTGTGGAGGGGCAGAGAGAGACAAGGGGAGAGAGAATCCCAAGCAGACTCTGGGCTGTCAGAGCAGAGTCCAGTGCGGGGCTGGATCCTACGTCATGACATGAGCCAAAATCAAGAGTCAGATGCTCCACCAACTAAGCCACCCAGACACCCCTGTTTTAGCATTTTTAATATCAACTTCTATTTTATAAATTGTCAATCAAAATGAAAGGCATGCATGGAAGGTTGGAGCACATTGCATAACTACAGAGTCAGTGTACGTAGTTAACAAACCTAGTTCTCCCTACATAGAAGTGTTTTTCCCCCCTACCTCTTAACTTACTTGAGTTTTTCTCCCAATATTTATTTTTACCAAAGTATTGTACTACATGTACACAAATCAAAAGGCAAAATGGTATTAATAAATTTATAATTAAAACCAGTACTCTGCCACATTACCCAACCTGATCTTCCACTTTCCTGAGAGACTACTTTTTAATAATTTTAGCAATTTCTCTTGTTATTTCCTATCCTATTGCTAAATAACATGTTTCTCTGACATTCTTGGATTTTTCAGTTTTGGGAAGCTGTTGCCTTTCCATTCCAAATGACAAGAAATTAGGTCCTAACATTCCCTGCAGTGTTCTGTCCCTGCACACTTTCCCATCCATCACATGTTACACACACACAATTTCTCCTCCTTCCAGAGTAGGTATAGTCACCATATTTGAACTTTAAAAAAAAGTTTTTAATGTTTATATATTTTTGAGAGAGACAGACAGAGCATGAGCAGGGGACGGGCAGAGAGAGAGGGGGAGACACAGAATCTGAAGCAGGCTCCAGGCTCTGAGCTGTCAGTGCAAAGCCCAAAGTGGGGCTCAAACCCAAGAACCATGAGATCGTGACCTGAGCCGAAATCAGACCCTCAACTGACTGAGCCACCCAGGCACCCTTCAGTGGGTTTGAACTTTAATTCAAATTAATGATTAATGTTTACATCATTGTTTCTATATAACTATTTTTATATCTAAGGTAAGGGGTGTACTATGATTGTTTTCCTTCTTATAGAATCTTTATATTTTCATGACACTAATAATAGCACTTTTTCTTTGATTTTCTACATACTTTCATTAATTTATCCCAAACTTTCTGCTTCAGCTCTGGATGGTCTCTAAACACATCCAAATCATCAAGTATTCTACTCATTTTATTTTCTTCTTAGATTTACCCTCCCTGAACCCAGTGTTACTCCCATCTCAAGGGCCTTCCATCAGCACCTCAAAGCCTGGAGCCTATTTCAGATTCTGTGTCTCCCTCTCTCTCCTCTGCCCCTCCCCACCTCGTGGTCTCTTTCTCTCTCTGTCTCTCTCTCTCAAAACTAAATAAACATTAAAACATTTTTTAAATTAAGCCAACTGATGAAAAGAGTTTCAGTTTTGTCAAACAGAAGTCAATTCAAAAACAAGAGCACATATATCAAGAAAATAGTAACAAACTCACCATGTTAATATTAGACAAACCAGAATTTCATATCTATTTGAGAGAGAAAGAGAGATACTTCATACTGATAATCAGTCTGCCAGATTGGTATAATAGTCATGATTTGTATACATCTTTTTATAAACTTTCAAAATATAGAAAGCAAAATGTGATAGAAGTACCAAAAAAATTTTTTGACAAATCCATACTCAAAATATAAGCCAGGATATAAGGCATTTTGAATATCATAACTAGCAAGCTTCTCTTAAAATATATATAAATGGGATGCTCAACAAAAAATATATATATCCTTTTCAAACACTTGATAACATAGACAAAATATATCCAAGTAATTTCAAGACAAGTGAAACTGCAGCTTTTTTGACCCAAAGCAGAAATTACACGGGAATGTTTGTGGATTGTGATGTAATAGAACTAGAAGTGGAAAACCAAACACAAACTACACAATGGGGATTTTTAAAAAATCCATATTCTCATCTCTAAATAAGTTTTATGCTAAATTTGCAAACTATTTAGAATGCAGCAGCAGTGAAAACACCATCGACCAAAACTTTGGGGGAACATGGGCTCTCCAGACTGCTCTCACTAAGGTCCAACAACCAGTCAGCCTGGGGCATGCCCCACAGACCCCTGTCATTTCTGGCACATATTCTCTTTGGACTTGGACTCCCCCAGACCGATCCCCCTGTTCTGTGTCTGGATCATGCGTACGTCATGGCCCATCTTTTCTTGAAATCAGATCCCATCTATTTTCTGTCTTTCTTGAATTCTTTAATTGTATTAAAACCCATATTAGCTGTGCAAACAGATCTTATAACATTATTTGGATACCTGGTGGGAGTAGAGGCTGCAATACACACTGCCATCTTTATCCCATCTCTCTCATTATTTTTGTTTTGTTTGAAGAGTCATAGAAACATAAGACATGAGAGTAGACAAAGTTCTTGAAATCATCTTGTCTAAATTCTTGTTTCATAAATGTTAAAACTTGTTGCAAAAAAATGTGAAGAGATCTACTTGAGATCCACAGAAAATTAAGTGTAAAGTTGAGATAGGAGCTCGGCTCTTATGACTGAGGTCTTTCCTTTTTACCATTCCACTTCCATCTGTGCAAAATATCCATTCTTCAAAGAACTCTGTGGATAATTTAGGTACTTATTAGAGCATAGCCAGGTTGGGTGAAGGACTGATCCAATGTATATGGTTACTTCCAAATGACAATAGCAGAGAGAATCCTGAAACTCTTTATATATTAATAGCAGGCATTGTATTTTTGTAGCTCTGGGAAAAATCTAAAGATTGTATCATTGGATCCTTTTATCAGCAGATATTATCATTCACATTTTGCAGACACAGACCTACATACAACTCAGAGATGTCAAGTGTCTTGTAGAACTAGTTCAGAACATGAACATGGGGCTTCTGAGTCTATATCCATGTTTTGTGTTATTCACCTCATCTATGTAAACATATCCTGCTTTCCTTTTAGAATATCCTCGAACAGAATCTGAATGGGAAAACAGCTTTGCTTTGAAGATGTTCCTTTTCCAGTTTGTTAATTTAAATAGTTCTATCTTCTATATTGCTTTCTTTTTGGGGAGGTAAGTCAACTTTATGCACATTATCTTTGCAGAGTGAAAAAGATTGCCAACCATTCCATTGCCAGTTTGTTAACAAGGGTGGCAAATTCTTGTCCCCTGCCTCGGAAAACTGCTAGTCAGTCTTCACATATGTTTCAATCGAAAGACTTTGAGCTACAGGAAAACTTCCACTACCAATTAAAGTTGGCATAAAAGATAAAACTTATATGCCATGCTTGGGCTGAATGGTGATTATCTAATCATCAGTGATGGTTTTGATAAATACGAAAATAATGTTTTTATAACCCTAGGTCACAGTTCCTTCGTGTGGAAACTTCTACCTATGGTGATAACATTTTTTTCCCTATCTTTGTTGCACAATATGAAAAAGAAACATATTAAAGTATGCTCAACACTCCAGCCAGTGCTGTGGAAACATACTGAAGCTAGAGCCATTTTAAACTAAACAGTCCTTCGCATTACATTAATATTCACTAGTTAGGCCCACAAAACATTAAAGATCTACAGGTGAAAGTGGAAAATTTCCTTTGGTTGGTTTCTCTGTACTTTCTCATCCCACTGGCATTGAATTCAAACATCACTTTTTTCCTTTTTAAGTCAGGTACTTTGATGTGTAAGCATGGCCTAAGTCAGCAGTTCAGTTCAGGAACAAGATGCACCAGTGAACATTTATGTCTGCCTACACATGCACTTGTTGTGATGCATTAGATGTTCTTCAGTCAACCCCATGTAAATGCTAATGAATTGAAATGGCTTTTTACAGATTTGTAGGCCATCCAGGAAATTACAATAAACTTTTTAACCGGTGGAGACTGGAGGAAGTAAGTAACCTTGTAAGGGTAGGTGTGGGCCTGGGCGTGGATATGCGACAATGACTATGGAAAGGGAGTGTGTGGGAAGAGAGAGAGACAGAGAAGTTGGAGACACAAGGTTTCAGGCATGCTGGAGATGCATTATTGGTAGAGAGTTCTTAAGAGTTCACTAATGAAGGAACTACATCTTTCCACAAAAGTGTGTGTACTTAAAAGTTAAAACCTAAAATCCTGACCTCAGCTCTTTAATTTTCTATCAAATCTATTTCCTCATTCCCAAAGCCCAAAAATTTAGCTCCAGTGATTGTTCAGTTTGGTGGAATTATTATTATCTATTTCATGGGTTTTTGAGCTTTTAAATATGTTAGGTTTCCTTGTAAGCAGGGAAATGCCATCCAAAAGAAATCTTACTTGAAACACCAATCTATAAGTATATAAATGTATGTCTTCCAAGTCTCATAGTTTTATATTGATTTATAATATGCATGTCATGGAAACAAAAGGTCTCGTATTGCTAGATGACAAGGTTAAACACATTGTATATTATCACTGAGACTGACAAATTGTCCTCCAAAATGCCAGCCCCTACTTATAGTGTCTGAGCCTGCTTCCTCAGATTTTTGCCAACAGAAACATTTTAATTTTTAGCAATATAAAATCTAAAAGATATCTCCTTTCGATTTCAGCTCCTTTAATTGTAAGATGGAGAACACTTTTTGTACAATTGTTGGATATTTTATATTTCTGTGTGTATGTGCTATTCTTGCTCATTTCCATTAGACTTTTTTTCCTCTGTACTAGTAATTTATAAACTAAAAAAATAGGCTCTAATCTTTCAAATTTGCTGAAGAGATTTCTCATTTTCTTGTATGTCTCAATTTTGTTTTGATACATTTTTTAAAAAACTCTAGAACATTTTTCAACTAAAATATCATTGCTGTTAATGACTTTGGGCATTTATATCATGCCAAATAAGGTGTTTTTAATTCTGAAAATTAAAAACTCACATTGTACTTTTTACTAATTAAAAAAAAATATTAACATCTTTAGTGCATTGGAAGCTTATTTTTATGTAAAGAGTAATCAAGATATCCACCTGCCCCAGTTAGCAATCACATATGTAATTAATAATACATTTTTTATCACTCAGCAAAATAAAATTTCATGACTTATTATATTCTACATCTGAAATCATGTCTAATTCTGGATTCTGTTCAGTCTCATTGGTCAGATTGGTTATTCCTTCTCTAGTTCAAAATTGTTTTAATTATTTTAATATAAAATCCAATTCAATATATGGTAGTATTATAAGAGCTTGTAATTTAGAGAGAAGCTAAGAAAGGATTCCCTGAGAAAACAGGTGTTTCCAGTCTCTAAAAATTTCCCCAAAACTCAAGGGAGTCCTCATTGATATTGTCTCCCTAGAGCCTTCTAGTTGATTGCAATAACAGGAGAAAGCCTAAAACTTCCTAAAGACCAACATGCTTCACATCATAGAAAACTGGCTCGGATGCTAACCTTGCTACTTACTAATTCTTTGCCCTTAATTTAATCCCTCTGAATATCTGTCTCCTCATCTATACTTAGGAGTAATACTTAGGTTGCAAAGTTTTTTATAAATAAGAGACAATTTGTATAACACACTTAGCACAAGCCCTGGTCTTTGGAAGGCACTCATTGTAGCTGATAGTTATCAAAGCTCTGTCTCCACAGTCACCTACCTGGGTATTATCCTCTCAGGCGAAAACAGATGAAGACCTTACAGAACTCCAGCTCTCCAGAAAGTCCTCAAATCAAACTTGCAATTTTCACTCATAGCCCAGATTATGGCTATGAGCCTTTCATCTACCCAGTTAGGGACCCAAGGCTTACTTTTTACCAGGAATGTTCAACTAGATTTAGCGTAGTGTGGGGAACAGAGTGGTACAGGCAGATAGATCTGCATATTGATGCCATTTTAGGAACTGCTGTCACCAATAGTTTCATTTAGTTGGATATTTTTACTCTTAAGTGTAAAGTTATTGGAATTCATCATTCTTCTTTGGGAATCCCAGAGAAATAATTCTAATACTGATATCCCAGGGAAATAATTCAAATACTGGTGTCAAGAAAAATATTTCATAACCATTATAGTCATTTTCCACAATATATATGGCATACATAATGGATGTATTTTCCAACAAAGTATTATTCATTTGGCAAAAAAAAATCAGTGAAATGAAAAATGTGAGTTTGTAATAGACCCTAGAAATTCTAGAACTGTACACGTAAATACACTTAATGGAAGATAAAAATTGACCCTGTGAGTTCAATCATACCACAAGCGCTATTGACACATACTCTAATCCAGCACTCTACTGGGTAATATGGAGTATACAAACGACGACGTCCTTTTCCTTTCTTGATGATGTTAATAGTTTCAAGAAAAGAATATAACCATGTCATGTAACAACTATTTTGTCTTTGGAGTCTTGACGATCTACATTCTAATTCAGTCCCACCTAAACCCATGATTTTAATATCTCCGAGTCTCAAGTTTTTCTTTTGTAAATTGTGATTAAGAATAGCTATCTCAGTACTATTGGTGATAGGATGATAAAACTGGATCATGAATGTAAAACCCCTGGCACAAATTATGGTAGCTATTTTAAACAAAGAAAAATACCTCGGTTTTATTTAAAAACATTTATGAACTGGCTCTACTGACCTTTGTTCATACTATGCTGTATAATCTATCACATAAATATGTTATGTAAATCTATATAAAATGTTAATAATGGCTAATATTTAATTAGCACATACAATCTGCCAGTACATTCCAGCAATTGTCCCTAACTGTTCTAGATATATTAATGCAGGAATTCTTTTTTTAAAAATATAGTTTATTGTCAAGTTGCTTTCCATATAACACCCAGTGCTCGTCCCAGCAAGTGCCCTCCTCCATTATTATGCTCATCTTCAAGATGAGGAAACAGAAATTTAGACTAGCTCTATAATTTGCCTACAATTATAGAAACATACTTCTAAATTGATGAAGTCATCAATCTGATTCAGCCAACCTAGCATCTGAGTCTGCACTTTGAACATTATGCTTTCCAGCCACCATTGGTATAGCATATAGGCACAATCGAAAACGTTAAGGATATTGATTTGGATAAGAGATGGCTGAATGATTGCTGACTCACACATGTAGATTGGATATAAAGTAAACATACTTCGTGTGAAAGGAACATGGGTACCAGAATCTGATAGTCCTGTCTGTCACCTAGTTTCATCATCTACAAAATGGAGATACTAACACCCATCTTATGAGGTTCTCAGGAGGAGCAAATGAGAAACATATGTGAAGGCCCCCAGCTCTATGTTGTCCACAGTCATATGATTTGGGTGGCAAGGGGGGGGGCAAAGGAATGAAAGCCTGGGCCTTTTGCCTGCTCATCCTTCCTCTTTTACTCATGGTAATTATAGACTCTCTCTTACCCAGTGAATTTTAGAGTTGAAGGACTAGATTTCTCCAAAGGGATCCATTATATGAGAGGGGCAGACCCACAACAACTACTTCTGCCCTATAAACCACAAAGACATAAAGGCTCAATTTTGACAAAATTACAAATGGCCTGTCATCCAGCTTCCCCACTTTGGCCTATGATTGTGGAGAGTGAGCCAATCACATGGTTCTGTAATGGTCTTTGTTTTCCCTTTCCACATAATAATACGCTCTGGTATTCAAAGCAACAAACACATTTGGTAAATAGAATTCATCTTTAGTGTTATGTGCAAGAGTAGAGGATTAGGGTGCAATAGACCAAGGCTTTCAGTTCCATTACCAACAGTCAACACTATATGACCTTGAAGAAGTTAATTTGCATCTTTGTGTCTCTCTATAAAAATAAAGAGTTTCAGCTTGCAGCTGTGATCTATGCCTGCCTCTGTAGCTTAGTAATTATTCTGTTTCAGACATTGCACAGAACCCATTTACCATATATATGCAGCAGAGCTCAGGGGGTCCTAAATTAATCCTAGAAAGAAGGGGCAGTCTTAAATGGGAGAATTGAGACTTCTCCACACAATAAAAATTACCACTGACAAGCCCTCTATCTGGCTCAGTTTAGGGAGTTTTAAATTACTGGGCTGGAACCAGGAAACCAGGCTCTTCATGTCCTAATTATCTGTTCCCTTTGAAGTCCCACTGGTACCAATTTGATAGAAATAGAAACTGTGGATCAAAGCTATAGTGACTATTGTTCTTATGAGCAGGACATTAACCCATTTCTAAAGAAACAGACCCACGCTTTCCTACCCAACTGTCTTCTGCAGTGCAAAGTTTTCAAGCAAAACACATCGATTGCCATGTTCATTGTTATCCCATTTTTTCTTTTTGGGGGTTCTAATGCTACCCTTTGTTGGATATCTGAAAAAGCAGAGAGGCACGGAGAAGGCAAAACGGTGTGATGCTGACAAGACATTCTGTGGCATGCTTTTATTACTAGAAGATACATTTGATGTAGATATTCCCTCTCTAGGATATAGAGCAGCTGCCTCCTATCTTGAGAGTGGGTTAGACTTATAGACTCGCTTCAGAAAAGAATGGGGAAAGGGCAAAATGAGTAACTTTACAGTAGAAATACCTGGCAAACATGGTATCAACCAAGTGATGAAGATTAATGTCACTAGGGATGTTGTGTGGAGAGCCTATAGCTTCTGATGAGAGGTGATGAAAATGATAATTTATGTCTGTGATCTCCTTCCATCCTCAAAACACATAAGCCCAGGCTAAACACGTGAAAACATTAGAGAATGTCGGTTTCTCAGCTTTGACACATGTACTTTGGTGACATATAAGGGGCAATAGAGGAGTCTAGTGCGTATGGGCATTATCTGTACTTTCTTTGCAAATTTTCTACATTTAAAATTATTCTAAGACAAAAAGTTTATTCTAACTTATACATTTTTCTATCTCCTGATTGTTAATAGATATATAGTATTCCAGAGCATTCATTAAATGGGATCATGCCTAATACAAACCTTGGCAGATAATAAGTGCTCATTAAAAGTTAGCTTTCTTGTTATTGCTGTTGTAACTTTGATCACTATTCCTTTATAATTACTGAAAATATTGCTATCAGGTGCCCTTATACATGTTCTGTCTCCTTGTTTTTTTTTTTTTTTTTTTTTATGCACTGAGATAGTGCTGCCTGGTTTTAGAATTTGCTGTACAGTTTGAAGGTGCTGTACAGTTTTAAGGAATGTACAACCAACTAAGAAGAGCAAAATCAAGGTGGTTGTTCTGTTTCAGTGTCATCCCAGTGGCTGTTTGATAGACCTCTGCCTGCAGATGGGAGTGATCATGTTTTTGAAGCAAATATGGAACAACTTCATGGAACTAGGATACCCGTGAGCACTGTATCTTTTAAACTTGCCTTATATATAGTTACAAAGAAGAAAGATAGAGGTAGTGTGCATAGTTCTTAAGAATTGGGACCTGTTAACCATACAGATGAAGGTTACCTGTCCTGCTGCTCACGAAATGTGTGACCATGTGTGAGTTAGTTAACTTTTCTGAGCCTTGGTTTTCACATCTCTAAGAAGGGGTCAATAGCTATACGTACCTTGAGAACACTGAAAAGGAGTAAAGGAAACAGTGCATGTCAAGTACCTAGTACTCTGTTCAACACCTTAAGATGCCTGTTGCTATTTTTAAAGCATTGTTGACAGTACAGGTTCTTGAGGATAAAAATAACTTTCTGGCTTCTTCTGGCTACCAAAAGACCAAAGTGGTTGTTGTTTAGCAAAGAGAGCCTCCGTTTATGCTCCTCCCTCAAGAAAGAATAAAACAAAGATAAAATTCTGGATAGGGAGGACTTGTACTCTTTATTACACCAAAAAAAAAAAAAAAAGTCATTAGAACAGGATTGACTGTAAAAACAACAAAACATATGTAGCATTCTATTTTGTCCCTTTAGGTAGGGTTCAACTATCTGAAACGCTGACATGTTGAATGACTACTTTTACATCATATAAAATATATTACTCTTCCAAAAACAGTGGGATACATTGTATGTAAAATAATGTGATATGGAAGATTTGAGGCCTAATCAAGTTTAAAAACATGACTCTTTTGAGGAATTTCTTTTTTTTTATTTTTTTAATGTTCTATTTATTTTTGAGTGAGAGAGAGAGAGACAGCGTTAGCAAGGGAGGGTAAGAGGGAGAGGGAGACACAGAATCTGAAGACAGGCTCCAGGCTCTGAGCTGGCTGTCAGCACAGAGCCCGACATGGGACTCGAATCCACGAACTGTGAGATCATGACCTGAGCCGAAGTTGGACGCTCAACCGACTGAGCCACCCAGGCGCCCCAAGGAATTTCTTAACTATAGAAGAAGGACTAGTTAATTGATGATATAGCTTCAGTTTAGTCATCAAATCATCCCATCATTGTTTCTCCTTGTTGGCCTTCAAATGGTATCAGGACATTTCAGAGCAGAGACCTTAGGACTGGAGAAGTGATATCAACTCTGAAATCTGCCATAAGATATTATGTTACACTTTAGGCAGGTAAGAGCATGGACTATGAAATATCTGAGACCTGGTTCAGATACTTTCTCTGCCTCTTGCTAAAGATGCTTATAATTTCCTTGACCTCTCTGTGACATTATTTTTAATAAAATAAGGGATTTGTGAAGATTGCATGAGATACCCAGTGATCTTTAACCTTAATGAATGACAGAATCTTTTTGTGAAAAGATTTGTGAAGAGATCCTCAAAATTTAAAACGGATGAAAATGAAGCTCTTGTAGATGAAGAGAGCATAGGGATGTAGGGAGGGAAGATTGGGTAGCCCACTCCATCGTTCATCTCCCTTCCTATCCTTGATTCATCTCTTTGAGACACAGGGTTTGGGAACATTATTTAAAAATAGCTAAGATTGGGTAGCAAATGCCCACCAGAGAGTCTGACGTGTTGTGATAGAAATAGCTTCATAAGCACCATCAAGATGGTATAGTAGTCATTATCTTATTAAGAATGGTTATTATTACCATTGTCCGTGTACTTCTATACATACCACAGACTTTGGATAGCACTTTTTCACCACGGCCTTGTCCAAGTGGTCAATGTGGATAGTATATATCAAATCCCAAATGTGCAATGATAAGGGACATCCTGTTGGTGTTCTTCCAAATCCAGCAGGAGTGAACCAGTCACTAAACAATCATTTTCAAAATTTGATAACATAGTTCTCTTTTTTAAAGAAAAATCTTAAGCAGACTGAAGGAAATAAAAATGAACCAATCCCAACCCCTTTTCCATCTTCATGAGGTCTCAGAGGCAACTTCCATGGGATAGACAGACACTGAATAACCACCCGACTTTTGGGTCTATGTTGTTCTTTCGACACCCACTAAGTATAGGTACATAATTAATTATATGTGAGAGTTGGAGTACTGTTCACTGAATCCTGTGGGATTCACTTTATTCTAGAGGTAATTGTCATCTAACCTTGAAATAATTAATTTCCCAGATGTCCCCACTATATGCACACTGGGATATTTCTGTGTCATGTAATTTCAAGACTGCCCCTATGCTAGGGAAATACTGTTGTTAATTCCTTTCCAAGTCTTTTAAATGGACCGAGACACAGATCCATCGCCTGTAAATTATTGTTCACTATACTAGCAGAATGTAATTGTTAATACTCAAATCCTTTATGTTCCTAAATTCAGAGGTGAATAGACTTGCTAAAAGTCACACAGCTAATACATTGCAGGTTAGGTATCTCTGGAAACCTTATCTAGGGTTCTGTTATTCAGTGTGGAACATGACTTTACTTGTGTTTCAAGAGCACAGCTCAGCTGGTTTTGGTTGTAAGCAATGAAGGGCTCAGATCTTATCAGAACAGGCAACATAGAAGTTTAAGTATTTATATAGGTTGGAGTGGGGGAAGGAATCATAGAAATGGGAATTTGTCTAATAAGTATCAGGAAACACCTAAGTATATGAGGGGGAATAAATCTCAGATACATATGTAGATATTTAAAGAGCTAGGAAGGCTGAGGCCTATTCTCTCATCCTAAACTTGGAAGTTGAGACTATGCAAATATCTCCAATTCCCAGAAATGCTTGGTGTACTCCCAGAGTAGTGATATTTCTCTTTTCTTAATGCACTATACATTGTTTATTACATGCTTAACTAACAGCTCAAAAGCCCATTGTCTCTTCTGTGATGTAGGCTGATCCAGAACTGGTGGTCACGACATAAAATCAAGCGAGGAGTACAAGATGCTTCCATACCTCAGTGGGAAAATGATTGGAATCTGCAGCCCATGAATATTCACGGACTGATGGATGAGTATTTAGAAATGGGTAAGGAAGGAAACTTCTACACAGCTATTTGGCTTTCTTGATACTCTTTTGTTAGTTCACACAGGCTTTTGTCCAAGAGAGAAAACCATCTCTGTCCTTTCCAAACCCAAGCATTCTAAAATACATCTGTACCTTTATCTCAACATAACTAGAGAAGAGATTAAAGAATTGTCCTTGGAAGGTTCACAGATTCTGTCCTCTGTCAGCTGTAACATTTGTCCAAAATGAAGAGTTTTCTCATAGTAGAACACCTAGCTTTAGTGCAGGTATTTAAAGGGAACAAAATAAAGCAGAATCCATTCCAAGTCAAAAACATACCATCCTGCCCCGATAAAGTAGTAATTATTTCTTATGATAAACCTTTGCATAGACCTGGTATGAGTTTAATTTGAGAAGCCCACTTATTTATATTAAGAAAATAAGGATTCCCACTCAAGCTGTTAAAATCTTTCTGTATTGTCTTGACATTTGCTTTTACTCTGGACTTTAGTTTTCTCATCTATTAAAAAAAAAAAAAAAGACAAGATTAGATCTCTTACGTCCCTTCTAGAGCTGAGCATTTTTTCTTCAAGCCCTCCTCTTTGACTTTTTTTTTTTTCACTCTTTCTTCATGCTGCATGGTCTAGTGGTGGAAAACACATAAACTTTCAATCCAGTGAGGTCAGAGTTTAACTGCAGGTGTTAACATTTTTAGCTGTTTACGCTTTTGAAAGCTTACTTAACATGTATGAGCTATAATTTTCTCAGCTGCAAAATGTGATGAGTATATTTACCTTGTAGGGGTATTGAAAGTATGAAAAGCAATTTATGTAAAGTACCTAATATGGCACAAGAAATTACTCAATAAAATGATATTGTTTATATTGCTAATTATGTAATGCACTCCCTTTCCAGTTTTGCAGTTTGGTTTTACCACCATCTTTGTTGCGGCTTTTCCTCTGGCACCTCTTTTGGCCTTATTAAACAATATCATTGAGATCAGGCTGGATGCCTACAAATTTGTCACCCAGTGGCGGAGGCCTCTGCCGGCGCGAGCAACCGACATAGGTAAGATTCAGAAACTAAATGGTTCTTGCATTGCTAAGGCCAAGAGGTGTCTTGATCTTAGCACCATGTAGGTTTCTATTGTTGAGGTTCCCTCCCAACTGTAACAAAACTGAGCAATTTGGTTAACAAAATAGTGAAATGAACATTAACTTACTTGGGAGTGTGTTTATACTAAACATGCTATTTCATGAACTTGTTTTTAACTAAAAATGATTCTATATGCACATTTCCATGTTAATAAAAATAGCTCTGCCTCATTCTTTATAATTTCTTTGCCAATTTCTATGATATGTTGTGTGACATTTCTAAAACCTTATTCCCTTAAATCGAGATGTTTAGATTGCTTCAGTTTTTCCTCTTATAAACAACACTGAGGTGAACATACATCTTCATACATATTTTGGCTGATTATCTCCTCAAGATGAATTTCTCAAGTGGAACTCCTATGTCAGAGAGCATGTTCATTATTTTTTTTACATTTAGTATAATGCTCTCCATCCATTTAACATTTTAATTTCTCAACATGTTGTCTAGAAATATTGTGAAAATTGATAGTCTTCCCAGGTATAATAAGGGTTCTCTTTTTTTTTAATGTTGTTCTATCCTCACCAGTCTGAGGAGAAAAACCATGTGATCTTGTTATGTTTCCTCACATGTTTATAACTATGAGACTAAGTATATTTGTATTTCTTCTCTACTAACTGTGGATGACCTTTGGCTGTTATATTTGATTTCGTAATCTTTATCTCCATGTTCAGAATTGCAAACATTTTCAAATGCAGGTTTTTAATTTTTCACTCCATCGTGAATAAGGTTTTAAAATGTGTATATCATCCCATTGATATATCTCCCTTATAGTTGTTATTACTTATGGCATTCTTAGAAAGTCCTTTAGAACTCCCAATTTTTCACGATGTATTTTACATATATGTGTGTTATTTGGTTGTCTGTTGGCCCTTTATGGTTTTATTTAAATTGTTGATCTAACGAATTTGTTGTTAATAAAGGGGTTAAAAGATATCCAGCTGGGTTTTTTCCCCTAAAGAGTGGCAAATTTTCTGACAACCATTTATCAAATATTACATCTTTCCTAACTTGTTTGAATTACCTTTGTTATAAAAAATTCTATATAAACTTGGGCATATTTCTAGAATCTCCATTTGTCCCTTTGATCTGACTACTTGTTTTTGGCATGCTATTTTAATAAACTGCAGTTTGGTAATAGAAATTCTAAGTATATGAAAAAGAAAATTCATACTTCTTTTCTTTTTTTGGGAATTTTCTGGCTAATATTGCAAAGTTATCTTTTTAAAATTTAATTATATAATCATATATGTGTGTATATACTCCACCGCCAACATAATTTTTTTAAATATACTACTAATCTGCAGAGATTTAATGCTACTTAACTTGAGTTCCCATTTTTTAAAACAACTAAAATTTTTACTGTTATTTAATTTAGGTATGTTTATTATTTCATTATTAAAATAATATAAGCACATTAAAGAAAATCTGGAAAATAAATCAAAAGGGAAAAATCAAACCCCATTCCAGATTTAGCTAGTGTTATTGCACTTTCCAATGCAAAATTTATTACTTTTTTTATTTTTCGTAGGTTGTCTTGCTCAACTCAGACAATACAATGTATAAAAATAGTTAATATTCATTCTTCCCTCTTTCCCTTCTACCTCAGGGAATCAGTATTATCAATTAGGCATTATACTTTGTCAGTGTTTTTCTTGCTCATACAAATATACAAAAATGCACACTTACGAATTCTGCATTTTTTCCTTCATGAATATCCCCTAGCTCAAAACATATTGGTGTGATTCATTTTGATAGTGTAGTAATACTCATAATATAGATGTATGTTAAATTTTATAGTCATTTACTTAGTTTTCGCAAGCAAAGAATAAACATACATAAATATAACTATGAATAAACATATACATAAACAGACATAGATATTATATATATTGGATATCACATATCCACAGATGTGTGTAATCAGTATATCTCTGTAGTACAGATCCCTAAAAGAAGGCCTACCAAGTTAAAATGTACTCACATTTTAATTTTGAAACATATCACACTGATCACCACAAATATTGTAATAGCTGTACTTCAAACAACTATGTCAAAAGAATTTCTGTTCCCACAGGCTCTAAATAGCAGTGGATGGTAAGAGACCCAAATCTCCTACAATCTGATGATTAAAAAAAAATCTTATTTTTTGAAGGGCATTTCTCTGAAACACTAATTTTCAACTAGTAATTGAAAATCTTTATTTCTTGATTATTTGCATTTCCATAGCAAATTACTCATCTGTATTGTTGGCCCATTTTTCTCTTGGGTAGTTTGCCTTATTAAAATTTTAAGACATATTTCTGTATTTTGTATAATAACCTTTGTTTTTTGTGAAGCAAATTATCCCTGGCAATTGTTTTCTTTTCACTGAATCTTGTTAATTTTGTAAAAAGATATGTTACATTTTGATGTATTCAAAAATTTTAATGAATTCTGATTTCTTGTCTCATGACTTTTTATGTCATGTCTATTTTTATTTTTTTCATTACAACTCAATATAATAAAATATTATAAAGATTTTGAAAAATAAAGAAAAGAGATGGAGGGGTGGGGAAAGTTTCCATGCTATCTGATTACCTTTAGTATTTTTGAGTATTTCTTTCTAGGACTTTTTTTGTATCAATATGTTTAAAATGACATTTAATCCTATTTCAAACATCACTTTTGACTATAATCAATATTATATGGATGCTGTACACAATTTCAGAGGCTTTTTTGTGTGTCTGTATGCCAGATTGGGAAAGTCCTGGGTCTTGACATCAAACGAGTTTTACTCTTTTATACTTTTACTTTACAAAGGTACTTGAAACAATTCCTAATGATACTTTAATTTTCAGATCTTTCAAGGTGAGATCAACCTTCCCTCTGTGGAAAAGTATTCCGTAGTTGTCCCATCTGTAGTGACATATTGTACTAAAGAAAGTAAACAATGAATAGAACTGTGATCCCAAAATAAGTAAAACATTCTCTCCAAAGATGATTCATTAAACAGTTTTAATGTTTTTCATTTTGTTTCCTATCTTTTCTCTTTCTTCCACCAGGTATCTGGTATGGAATTCTTGAAGGAATTGGTATATTGGCTGTGATCACCAATGCATTTGTAATTGCTATTACATCTGATTACATCCCACGTTTTGTCTATGAATACAAATATGGCCCCTGTGCAAGTCGTTTTGAATACGGTGAAAAGTAAGGTTGACATTTACACAGTTTTCTGATGTATTTTGTTTGTGATTGAAATGAGAACTCATTGGGAAGTGTTTTTTTTCTGTGACCATTAAGGGTAGTGCTTTTAATCATTGCACTTAAAATGTGCTTATTGGATGAAATCAAGTGGGATAAAAAAGGCAGCAGTACTTTTTATGCAAAAATTTTAAAGTCTATGTTTTTACCTGTATGCATCACTGGTATCCAAACGTTAAAAACATTATAATGTATTTATTTTTTTTAATATTTTTATTTATTTCTAGGAGAGAGAGAGAGAGCGTGAGCAGGAGAGGGTCAGAGAGAGGGAGATACAGACTCTGAAATAGGCTCCAGGCTCTGAGCTGGCAGTCAGCACAGAGCCCGACGCGGGGCTCGAACCCACAAACCGCTAGATCATGACCTAAGCGAAAGCTGGACGCTTAACTGACTAAGCCACCCAGGCGCCCCTATAATGTATTTAGAAGTCAAATTCAGAGCTGAAAGAGACATTAGAAATCATGCAACGCAATCTTCTGACTATATTGATAAATAAACCGGGCCCACACTGGTTAATCAAATTCCTGCAGGGAATAAAGCTGATTGCAGGGAGAAACAGAGTATGAAGGAAATGTCAGCTACACGATGAGAGAGCTTTCAAAAGGAGTTTATAGCTAGCGATTTTAAGGTGCAGAAAATATTGCCTTGGATCTGTCTTTTTTTTTTTTTCTTGTAACTAAAATATGAGTCCATGATTTAGAGTAGGGTTTCTCAACATCTGCTCAATGGACATGTTAGACCAGATAATTTTACTTGCGGTGAGGATAGGGATGATTCTGTGCATTGTAGAATATTTAGCAGAAAGCATCCTTGGCTTCCACCCAGTAGATACGAATAGCAACCTCCCTGCTCCCCAAGTTGTGATAAACTAAAATTGTCTTCAGATATTGCAAAATGTCCCCTGGGGAACAAAGTCACCCATTTTATAACCACTGTTTTAGAGGAAATGTGTTTTTCACATCTTTGTTTCTTGAAAGCAAGTATTAGGAAAGAATGTAAGAGAGCACTGGGCATAGAACAGAAATCGGTGTTTCAGCTGCAGACTAGTCTTGCATGTGGAAGCAGTGATGGGAGACAGATAAAGTGATAGAAGAAGCCACTTCAGTCCCGCCTCAGGAGCACCTTTGGGTTGCATCTCATTTAGATGCCAGGCATGTGCCCCAAGACACTGAGCTCCGGTTTATGAAGAAATCACGCCTTAGCTCTACTGATGAACTCATGTTTTCTCAGAACACTGAGATGCCTTTCTGAACATAAACATCCCAGTTTTTCAAAGAGAAGTAATAAAGACATAAAATCTTATTTTGTATTTTGGAGTCTTGTCAAGGTACTTTAACTTAAAATCAGACACCCTAGATTGAAATTCTAACTTTGCCTTTTACTAAAAGGCACAGTCATCAATCTGGACCTATAATTAAGAAATAGTGTATAAAGTAACATTTTACAAACTGTAAAAGACTATATGAATAAGCCACTTTTAGTGTTAATAGTGAAAAACCAGAAACAGTTTTTCTTAATTTAATATAGTCTAGACGCAGATTTTAAGGGTTTCTAGTACGAAGGCATGTTTGAGAGCCCTTCCTTAAAAGTGTTGTTTGCTAATATCTTTGCTTCCACCTAGTGGTAGGTGAAAATGAAATTGGTTGGTTATCTGCTCTGTATTCATTTCAAGTCCTGCCTTTCAGGCAGATAGCACTGGACACCTCTGCATTCAGTGACTAGATGTAGAATAACTTTAAGAAGAGATGTGGAGGACTTCTGTGAGATTGAAACTTCACCTTCCTAAGGCCGTCCTGTTATTTAAATTTTTTCCAAGTATGCTTAGCAGTTACTAAACTGGAGTGGATTCATGCGGATCAGAATTTTTCAGACCAAGATAGCAAAAGGACAAAATGGCAGTGGAGGGGAGGGTATTGGCAAGAGAGCAGTTAAAATGACAAATCATGGGGTCTGGGATGGACAGGCAAGGAAGTGAAACTAGTGCAGTCCTTTACTTCAGAATTCAGGGTTTACAATGAGATAGATGTACATTTGAATCCAAGTTTTAACGGCTGTTTGTCCTGGTCAGTGATTCACAACATGTGTCTCCTTTAGGATCCACAAGGTCGATACTGTTTTCATAATAATACTAAGATATTCTTTTGCTTGTTTTGCTATAATGACATTGGTACCGATGATATGAATAGGATAGTGGATAAAATAAATATTCTGGTGGTTTTGTGTAACTGAAAGCAGTGGTACCAAAAAGTATAGCAATGACTGTATTCCTCACCATTGTATTTTAGAAAATACCAGTAAGAAAATTCAGAATGTCTTTGATGAAGCAATAATAATTACTACATTTATCAAGTCCTCGCCCTTGAATAAGTGTCTTTTTGGTATTCTGTGTGACAAAATACAAAGGTGATAAAGCATTTCTCCTACATACTAAAGTGCGGTGATATTCGTCTCAGAGTAAACCTCTTGCATGATTGTGGATTTGCAAACTACACAATATGTTCTTAACATGAAATAATGATTGCCAGATAAACTATGATTATTCAGTCTTGAGTGTGTAGTAGACACTCTTCTAGAAAATAGACAAAACTAGCTTGTCACTTTAAGAAAAATAACTGACATATGTGTTGCCATTAATAAAGTTCAGGTTTTAAAGTGAAAATCAAAATTTTGGAGAATTTTATCTATCACTGAGCTTGAAAGTTTCCCAGTACTTCCAGAGTTTTCCCTGATAAAAATCAATGGTGATATTAACAATTATGCTTTTTGTAGTCTATGGTAAAAATATTTGGAAGATCTGCATAATTAAAGAAACAAATGTTTCCCAAATGACCCAGGTTTAATGTCACAAAATTATATGTGGGTAATTTGAATTCAAAATACAAGACAGACCTGTAGATTTTAATGTAAAATCCATATAAAACATTTATGAATTCTTTAAGACTCCACAGTACAATTAACCTTTAAAAAATGACCATAGGTAGAACTTTGGTATAATATCAATGAAAAATATCAACAATTATTTGAAGTGCTATTAAAATATCCTTTGTTTCAACTACTTATCTGTGTGAGGCCAGGCTCTCTACTTACTCTTCAACCAAAACACCATACTGCAATAGATTTCATGCAGAAACAGATGTGAGAATGTAGCTGCTTACTAGTAAGACAGACACCAAAGGATTTACAACATGTAAAACAATGTCATTCTTCATGCTATATTTTTTGGAACATCGCTTTTTTTCTTTAAAAATGTGCTATTTATATCTATTTGTAATGAGTTTGATGAATTGTTTTAAGTGAATTAATAAATATTTTCTAAATTTGTTTTAATTTATAATGTGTAAATAGCAATACATATATGTTCATGTAAAAAGATCCTTGGGATCCTAGTAATTTTTTTAAATGTGAAAGTTAGCTGAGCTCAAAAATCTTGGGAAGTGTAGGCTTGGAGGAAGTTAGTCTCTGTAAAACTTAGTTTTTTAATCTATATGATGGAGATGATAATGTATACGTTCTAAGGTTATTGTAAAAAAGTTAACTGAAAACAATTTAATACCTCACCATCAGGATAGAGATTTCCACCTCTTTTGTTCATTGTCAAATACCAAAATAATAATTTTTCTAACAAATTATAAGTCCTTAATAAACATATATTGAACAATTTAATAAATCACAAATACACATGCTTAATTAGCCAGATAGTGTGATTTGCATGTATATTTATAAAACATTTATTTATAGAGTATTAACACATAGGAAGTAATTAGCACAACGCTTAGTGCATAGTCAACACTTAATAAATGTGATCCAATGAAAGGGGAAAAACAGTGGACAAGAGTCTGTCTCATTAAAGTAAACTTACATAATAATTGAAGTTAGAGTATTAATAGGGCTTACTGAATCCTGTCATATGTAATGAAGGAATTGGACCAGAAATTTATAAATCTCTGAATCACATGATACTTTTCTTTTCTCCCAGTTGTTTAAAGGGATATGTCAACAATAGCCTATCCTTCTTTGACCTGAGTGAGCTTGGTATGGGAAAATCTGGTTATTGCAGGTACTTACTTATAAATTATAATTATCTTTTCTTCTTGCTTTTATCATTCCATCTTCTCCCTCTACATTCTAATAAGCCCATTTCAACTGTCATTTTGGAGTTTTGGCAAATTAAAAGCCTTTGAGGCCTCCATGCTTTGGTCTCTGTTCTTCACATTGTTTGTCTTGTGGGTTTCAGGTATCGGGACTACAGAGGCCCTCCATGGAGTTCCAAACCCTATGAGTTCACTCTACAATACTGGCATATCCTCGCTGCTCGATTGGCCTTCATTATCGTGTTCGAGGTTAGTCACAGGCTGATAAAATTTCTGTTGGTAAACTCTTTTCCGACTGATGTATTAGTTGACTCTTTGAAGTCAGTTCCTCACTGACTTCCAAAAAAGAAGTTGTGTATATCCCAGTAAAAGATTCAGATACAGTGAAACTGCTATAAGAAGTGCAAGGAAGCAAAAGCTGAATAATGTAAGAAGGTAGGTCAGTGGGTATTTACACCAGAAAACTAGTATAAAAAAAGCTATTAATGGTTCAACTGAAAATTTAGCTTTGAGCCTCCTAGTAACCATATTTAAAAAGGAAAGGATGGTTTTCATCATATGATGAAAGAATCTATACTTATTCATTGGGATTAAGAAACATACTTTCTAATCAACTTAATTACAGTTGACCACATGTGTGTTTGTATATTTCCATAAATGATGCCTGAAACACTTCCATAAAATGTGCATAGATTTTGATTATCAGAGTCATACAATATTAGACTGTAGTCTTGTGAAGAAATTTTGGAGATGCTACAGTATTGTTACCTTCCTTAGCATATAAGAAGCTTGATACCATGAAGAATTTAGTGCTGGAATATATTGAGTATCTATTCTCTAAGGTACCATCAAGTTCTATGGAAAACCTTTGAATGCATCTGGTTTTTTAGAGAGAAAAAAAGGAGCCATACATAAAACTTTCGGAAAAAGTTTTTTTAAAGGTAGATGTACCTCTCCACTGATCTCTAAAAAAATATGTCAGATTTTTTTTTTTTTACAAATAGTTTATTGTCAAATTAGTTTCCACATAACACTCTGTGCTCATCCCCATAAGTGTCCTCCTCTATGCCCATCCCCCACTCCCCCCCACATCCATCAGTCCTCAGTTTTTGTCAGCATTCAAGAGTCTCTCATGGTTTGCCTCTCTCCCTTTCCCCCACCATTTCCGCCCTTCTTCTCCCCCTTGTTCCTCCGTCAAGTTCCTCCTAATCCTCCTATACGTGCAAACATATGATATTTGTCCTTCTCTGCCAAAATATGTCAGATTTTTTAGTGAAACATCCTTCATCCATAAAATGAAATGCTTACCTCTAAGGTTTAATCCAGGATGAAATTCTATTTACCTAATGAATCCATGAGTCTATAAAAATGTCTCCTGATGAAGTGTGACTTTTCACTTTATTACAGGTAGCAGAAGAGAGGTTAAGGCATATTTCCAACCCAATGATTCTAAAAAGTCTTCTTGTTATTGTGTGTGTGTTTTAATGTACTTTCTTTTCATCTTCATCTTCTTTTGGAACTCAAATGAACAGTCTTAGTCAAATGCCCCAATTCATAGCAACCTATCATCATGGATACAAATGATTCCCCCTTTATTTTTTTCTTTATTCCTCATTACTAATTCCATTACCTACCCACTCTAAAAGCACCCACTCTTTTTTCTTCAGTAGAAGTTTTTCCACATGTTTATTTAAACAGATACATATGTATGTATAGTATCATTTTAAGTGTTCTTTTTTCAAAATTCAATTGTATTATGCAATAACTCATTTTTATCTTTTACCCATTTTACTTTTTTAGATCTAGAGAGAGATCTTTCTATGAGGTCTATCCATATTTAGATAATTTCTTCTATCTACTTATGTATGATAGTTCATTGGTTTTAAATACCACAATCCCCTGTGGATGGGTACTTGGGCCTACAATAATTCTCTCTACCTCTATAAATCTCTTATTATAAATTTTGGACTTGTTACCTTCTAAACATATTTAAGGGTTTCTTGGGAATATTATACTCAGGTTTGGAATCTTTTACATGCATACTTAATTTCACATAATACTAACAGATTACTCTCCAAGAAGATTTTCAGCAGATCTTCATATTATGTGAATTTCTAATATTTTGCAATTTAATAAGAATAAGGTAATATTTTGCCTTAATTTTTTTAATCTATTAACTCATGTCATCAACTTTATTACTAGAAAACCATTTTGGTTTCCTTTTTTGTGAATTTATAAACTTGATCTATTTTTGGCTGGGTTTCTAGTTTATTTGTTGCCAAATTATAAGATTTTCTTACATGTTCTACATATTAGTCTTTACCAGTTATAAACATACCAGATATGTGTTTCTTTTTCATAACTTATTAATTTTATCCATAAACAAATAATGTTTAATTTTGATGTCATCAGAAAAACTTTCATTGTTTTCCATTTAAGGTTTTTGCTTTCTGTGTGTGTCGTTTATTTAAAAAATTTTCTTATCTCCAGTTCAAAACTATATTCTATTACATATTTTACTATTAATTTTATAATCTTACTTATCACACCTTAAAGGTAGCTGAACGCTTTATAGAGACTGAGGCAAAAGCTTATTTTTCTTTTATTTTTTATATAGTGCTATAATTTTTGCACTGCTGTTTACTAAATAATATATTTATCCACTGATTTGTAATATTCCAAGTTCCTAGAGTAGATGTGTCCCTGGCCTCAGTGTTCTGGTTTCATTACTCCATTTGTTTATTCCTATTCCCTATCACACTATTTAAATGCCACGGCTTTGGAATATATCATCATATCTGATAAAGCCAGCTACTTCCTACCCCTGCCAAGTTTGCTCTTATTTTTAAAAGTTGCCCTAGCTCTTTAGACTTATTAATCATTTATATACATTTCAGAGGCCATTTTCCATGGTCCCCCAAATATCGTGCAAGGATTACAGTTAGAATTACATTTATTGAAAACACACGTTGACTTATTTACAAAATCTGTGCTGATTCATTAATAAACATGAAACTTATTCAAACCATTCTTACATACTTTAATAGAGTTTTAAAATATTCTCTTGCTTGTTCATTCCCATTTATTCTCAGAAACTTTGTAGATATTTTTATTGCTATTATAAACACTGTCTTAGCCTCCATTCTGATTTGATTGATGTGCGCTAGAATTCTAATGGTCTTTTCTCACAAGTGCAAAGTTCCTTGTTTAAGTCTTTCATTGTTTCTAACCTTCTGTCTGTTAAATCTGTTGGACTGTCTTTTGCAAATAAGGACAGTTTTGTCTCTTCATTTGCGAGGTTTCCGCCTCATTACTCTGTCTTGCCTTACTGTGTTGCTGGAAATTTCAGTATGGTGTTGAGTAGCAGCAGTGTCAGCAATTATATCTTGTTTCCAAATTTAATGGAAAATACTTCAGACTTTTTTTCTTTAAGTACAATATTTGCTGTAGGTTTTTTATTTAAGATACACTCTGTCAGTTTAAGAAAATCGTCATCTATAACTGGTTACAAGAGTGCTTTGATAAATGGTAAACTTTAGCCTTTTAAAAAATAGATTTTTTTAAAACACTGAATCACTCTCTCTATTTGAATCCATTTATAGCTTCATTTATTACCATTGTATAGGACTCAGAGCATATTCTTCACTGTTTAAATTATAACAAATATTTTTGATTTTTATTTCTATACTTTTGAGACACATTGCTGGATATTTATGTGCATACCAACTATCTGATCAGGAAAGAAAGTCCTGATCTACTTTTCTATGGCAAATATGATGGGCTTTACTGTGATCTACTATGCAGTGCAATTTCCTGAGGCACTGACGTAAACCAGTCAAAAGTACCATGAATTCCTCCTTTCCACATAAAGAGATGGTTGTCACAAAGTTCTGTAGATAAATGTTTGATTTTCTCTCACACATTATCCTAACTCTATCAGTATCAGTTTCTTTTCTGAGCAACTGAAAGTTCTTCTCTTCTCCATGGGAAAAGAAAACGGATGCATTTTTTATAATGGGTGATGATATTTAAGTGGTGCTTCTATTGTGCCAAGCCCTTCTTTAACCCCTTCACATGTATCTGCTCATTTAATCCTCGTAATAACTGTTAAGGGATATCATTATTGTCACCATTTTAGAGATTAGACACAGAGAGCATAGGTGATTTGCATAAGATTACACCACTAATGAGTGTCAGAGAACAGTTCAGACATGCGCGGTTTTGTTGAGCCTCTGAACTTTTGACCCCAGACTTATTATTTCAGTTTTTGATCCTGTCGTTTTTATATACAATACTTTTGGCAGTCTATTCTTAAACATTAATACATTTTTATCATAAAGGAATTATGTAATGGAGACAACATTTTTTCCAATATTTGAACTTATTAGTAGAAATTCTATAAAATGCACATGCTGGAGATTGAGCCCACAGTCCCATAGAATACAGTCATGGGCAGACTGTTTTATGTGGCTTATACACTGTGATTATGATCTATCAGACGTGAGTTTTCCCTGGATGTGATCTTTCTCATCTCTATATAACAATGCATGTTATAATAGGATTCCATAGTTTATAAGGATTTTATAGATGTGAACTTAAGATTCACGCAGTGTTTATAAAGTGATTGTCAACATGTGGCACCTAAAAGAGGAAAGAATTCTCTTTTCTCCTAATACTTATGTGATGGAAGACAACAGTGTAATTGTTCCAATATAATTTCTTTAAAATTTTTTAAGTTTATTTATTTTGAGAGAGACAGAGAGTGTGTGTGCGTGCCAGCACAAGTGGAGGAGAAACCCAAGCAGGTTCTGTGCTATCAGAGCGAGGCCTGACTCAGGCCTTGAATTCACAAACTGTGAGATTGTGACCTGAGCAAAGATCAAGAATTGGATGCTTAACCGACTGTGCAACCCAGGCACCCCCAGTATAATTCCTGAAAATATTAATATTCTAGGTGGTATATTCTGAGTTCTGTTGTTTGATTGTAAGGCAAATGCAACATTGTTCATGATCTGTTTTATAATTGGCATTCCACAATCTTTAAAAAGTGTACTTTCTCCTCTTAAATTTGCAGCACCTTGTTTTTGGGATCAAATCATTCATTGCATACCTGATTCCAGATGTACCAAAGAACCTGTATGACCGAATACGACGGGAGAAGTACTTAGTCCAAGAGATGATGTATGAGGCTGAACTAGAACATTTGCAACAACAACGGAGAAAAAGTGGTCATCCTGTTCATCATGAATGGCCTTAGGGGCAGAGTGGGAATGACAGCAACCTTAAATTCTAGGGGGGTCCAGGAGGAAGGCATACCTGGCAAACCATATGTATGATATGTTACTTGGAAATGCATCACAGCCATCTCTGGGATTTGGAATATCCAGGCATCTAGGGAAGGAAAAGATGACTCGTGGCATCTAAATGGTTAGACTGACAATGCAGGAAGCCGGGATCTAATTCTCAGAACCAGCCTCAGGGAGTTGTTTGTTTGGAGACCTCCACCTTCCGTCAGCTGCAGTGTAACAGGAATGGTGATGATGAGGTTTCTGGCAACAGTTTTCCATGGAAATGTTCATAAGCCAGGCATGCTGAAGGTATCATGCGGTCTTCAGTCACATACTAATCTGACTTTGGAATCTTAAGTTGAGTTGAGATACAAAAAATGACTTACGTCAATTATTGCCTTTGCTGCCAGAATTCCATGTCCCTTCAGCTTACAGGTTTGGGGAATTTTATTGGTTTTTTTTTGTTTTTTCTTGTTTGTTTTTTTCCCCTGAGTTTATGGATCTGTGCCACAAGGAATTTATGCTGCTTTACATTGACTATGCAGTTGAAGAGTTGCACACCACCTTTAGTTGTCAAACCAAAAATCTAAGATTCTAAAAAGAATCCCATTCATTGAAATGGATTCTATTGCATCGGCTACATTCAAATATGTTGTATCACGGTCAGAACAAGGTTCCCTGCCTTTTTTTTAAATTACATATTAGTAGAGCCACATACTTAAAAAGTATGGGTGTTTATTCTCATATCATTTAGAATACCACTCATCCATGTTTTACTGCGGAGGGCTGTTTTATAGTATTTTTTATTTTTTCCTCCTTAGTTTATTATAACTACTCCCACAGAATAACAGAATAACTTGAAATGCTGTAAATATGTTGGTTTTCCTTGTACTTTTGCACCTTGGCAATACGTAATGCAAGTTACATTTTGTGCAGCTCTGAGATCAGTGACATAGTATGCCATTGTGACTTATTTATTCAGGAAATCAGAAGCCAAATGCTTTGCAACACGTTAAGCTTTTCTAACAATGTGCATTTTTGTTCATGAGCTAATGAAAACAACGCATGAATATAAATTTATATTGTTTGTAAGCACACACACATTTTTTGTTTTATTTCTTTTTTCATCAGTGAAGGGGGTTTTCTGTTATTGTTTCTTTGAGAGATTGATTTGTTTGATTTTTGAAAACTCCTTAAAACCAAGATCAAATCAACTGTGCAAAGACATGGTTTTGCTTTGTTGTGGAGTTGCTATTTCGGTGTCAACTCTGTGAGTGTTCTTGTTCACAGACAGATGCAGTGGGAATGATGAAACATTCAAGTAAGGAAAGTCTGGTGGAGACATAAGCTATGGGAGCAGGTGGGGAAGAAAGAAGAGAGTTGAAGTAAGGGAATATATGGGAGAAATCAAGACACCTTTCCTTGCAAAACAACCAAAACTGATCTCAGTTTTCCTCCCCTGGGAATGGGGTGGCAAATTACATAGACTCACACATTTCCATATATATATAATATACATATTATATATTATATATATATATTTGTGATTATTATTTGTCCAATTAAACAAAGCACCATTATTTCCAAAATGTATAAATACCAGATTAAAGACAATGGAAATAAAACTGCTTTGTATATATGCTAGAGTATCTCTAGTAAGAAAATTTTAAAGTTTCTCTTACTGGAAAACTAACATTCTAACCCTGAAAATGTTTTTTGGACTGTTTCTTCTTTTACTCCAGGGAAAAACTGACAGCTTATAGTTGTTCGTTGGTTTGTTCTTGTCAAAAATGAACACTTCCCTACTTCTCCTCTGATTCTGAGCAAAGGGAAAGACCCCAGACTCTAAACTTCCCTCCCAATTCCTTGTCACCAAGGACTCTTACATTCAGCTTCCTCAGAGGTCCTGTTTCTGCCACCTGCTAGTCACAACTAGTTCCACTAACTCCACAAAGGAGTTTTAAAGTCCTTTTTTGTGGTATCTGCAGCATTTCCTTTTCTTTGTTAGTTGAATGTATGCCATGCCTAAGGATAAATGTTCTGTATGCCTATTGAAGACATAAATGAACCTGATGTGTAGTTTCCAAATTAGGGACACAAGACAAAGACATTTGTCTTGCAGTAGAGCAAAGACTAGTGATAGCCACACCCTTGAGAATTCTTTCTGTTTTGAGTTATTTTTAACACCATCAGTGTTTAAAAGTGTATTGATTGCCTAGAGAGAAAGAAAATGAAAAGAGAAAGGTAGTTATAATAAAAAATTATAAACATTGATTTAGGCATTGCCTCCTCTGAAGATTTTCAAGACCAGTAGAAAAATAGAGAATCAATGAAAAAGTTACCTGAAATTTTCCCTTTGTGAAACAATGCAGTAGAATCTAGCTATGCCTTCATGGTTGTTGACAGCAAAATTTTGACAGCCCCTCACAGTATGTGAGTTTTAAATCACTCTGATTTCGTTGAGAGAAATGTTTTATATCATGGTTTTCATAGGAATACAAATTATTTCTCAAAGATTTATATAGCACACACTATTCTCAGGAATTCTGTATTACATGAATGCTGCTTATATATTTTCATATTCTAAACTGTAGTCTTTTCAAGTAAATGACTAACATATATATGTGCATGCAGCCTGCCTTGACAAGTTGTTCAAAGCTGAAGCACTTTACCAGTCCAGTGTGTGAAAAATTTATCTAGACTGTAGCCGAAATAGTTTGCAGTTGTCTGAGTCTATGCACGTACTTTTCGATAAAATGCTGAGTGACTGCATGATGAAATACAACTTCTGAATGCTGCACTTTCTTCCAAAATGACTCTTAGCACAATATGTTTTAGAATGGAACGGAAAGGAATCTTTTTCACTCAATAAATCATGTGATATGGGATTTTTCCTGTAATTTGCATGTTAAATTTGATCCTGCTTGTTTTTTTCACTATAAGTTGGAGGGTCTATGGAGAGAAGGGATTGCTCATTCTTTAGCCCTAAAAGCAATAGTTTCCTATTCTTGGAAGCCCTTGTTACACTCTTGAAAAGTTTTGGCTATTTGTTCTCTGATAAGCTCATTGTCCTCATCAAGGCATTTGCACATGAAAAGTACAGATGGAATATCATACTGATTCTAATAATGTTTTGCTTAGAGACAGATGGGAAAGGAAGGTTGATCCATTCTTATGAAAGCAGTAAATGTTTCTATCACACAGAAGCTTTTTCTCTCTTTCACACTTGGGCTGAGTCCACCAATCACCATCAAAATCTCCTTAGGATATGAATTTCAGCACAGATAAAAAGTTCATGCCAAGAAAGGAGGACATATAGGGAGGGACACTGTAGCCAACTGGCAACAAGAGGCTACCAAATTGCCCATTTTCTCTCAACTGGATGCTCAATTTTGAAAATTTGGGTTCCCTGAAGAGTTTCTTAACTAATATGGCTGAACTGATTAGTTTGTCAGTTGGAGGAAGGTGTGTGTGCTTGTGGGGGGGGGGGGGTTACACACATGTGTACTTACCCTCCTTGAGATATGCCCAACTCAGTCCTACTATGGTCACTGCATTTTCCCCCAAATCACCATGTTATAACAGGTTTTAGGAATAATTGTAGATTTTATCCAGGGAATACGTTATCATCTTAGTCTTTCTGGTATTCTCAGTAACTTAGGAGGAAACACTTTAGGAATGGCCTGAAAAACCCAGCTTTTGATAGAAATGTGTGAATTTCCCTACAGGCATTACTATTCGTATTGAAATGTGCCAAGAATAGTCTAACTGAAAGATTGATTTGGCCTTAGCAAGAATCGTTGTTCAGACTAGGCTCCTACTACCTAGGATGTATGTGTTTGTAACGGTGATAAGATGCCTTCAATTGAACTTGCCATCTAGATTCAACTGAAAAACTACATCCACAACCACATTTGATCATTCTCTCTCTAGAAAACTCGAATATTATAGCCACTATGTTCTCACTACATCTACATTAAAGCATCTTTTACAGGGAAGTAAAATGAAAGCAGATAGGTTGATAGAAAAGAGACTCATATTTAGGATCAAATCCAATTTCTTCTATAATCAAAGTCTACTCACAGGGACAAGAAACTTATCCATCAATCTCACTGTTTTATATGATGATACCAGTTTGTGCCCCAGTAGGATTCTCCCTAGATAAAACTTATTCCACATCCAGCAGACTCCAAGTGAGTCTTTGAGTACACTCGGCAGGAATCTGTGTGGATGCTGTTACATCTTTCTTTAAGAAAGAAGAGGGTAAAATTTCTAGATATATGCCTGTATTGACTTCCTCAGAATATTTATTTCCATTTTAATTCTCTCGGTGTGTGGAAAAAGCAGTTTCTCTGCTTTCTGTTTTTCAGAAGGCACAAACTTCTTAAATTATTGGTTGGAAAACAAAATATAATGATACCCATTTTGATATTCCCCACAAAATATAACTGTCACATGGATGGCTAGCCCCATGTGGTATTCACACTGCCTCAAATGCTTTATAATTATTTTGTCAGTATCCATGCCACTCAACACTACCAGGTGAACACATTCGATTAAATATATTTTTACATGATTATTTTTTCAAGTAATCTCTACGCCCAACATGAGGCTTAAACTTACAACCCTGAGATCAAGAGCCAGACCCTCTACCGACTGAGCCAGCCAGGGGCTCCCACATTAGGTTAAATTTAATACCTTTCTAACAAATAGTATGAGCAGACTTTTCCCATTTTTCATTAAGTGAGAAGAGACGGATTTAGGGGCCAGAAAAATCCGATGGCAAAGATCATTGTGGAAGCAATATTTGGGGTATGGTTGAGGGGACGTAGAGACTTTCCTACCTGAGCAAAAGTGCCTGCTTTGCAATCTTATTAACAGCTTTTCTGTGCACATGCCCTGCCTTCTTTCTGACTGAAAAACAACCACAGTTTCATTCATCCTGCAACATTCAGAAGAAATGAAGTTTTTCCCATTATTTTTTTCTTTATCTATTTTAAGATTACAAAGCTAAATATGGTAAGCTTAGACTTCAGTGACAAGTCTAGCCAAAGAATAAAGATCTCAGTTTTCAATGCTGAAGATGAAAATGCACTTTAAAAATATGCAATTTTATCTTTCTAAGATGTGTGACAATTGGCATTTATATTGTATTTTTCAACTAGGAAGGAGCTATTGGAGTCCTTAAATTGAGACAGAATGGTTTCTCCAACTGTTTTTATTCTTATTTGGATTATTAACCATTAAAGATTCCTTCCAAACTCTCATAAGAAGTTGTAACACCAATTTAAGGAAGATTTGCTTCTTTGAAATAGATTGAATCCATTTTTAAGGTCACCATTCTTGAAAATAAGAAACCATAAAAGTCCATAAACCTTTATTATGTAGATCCCAAATCAATCAATGACATTGGCTCTACAAATTCTGCTAACTGTCTTATGCTGTTACAAATAAGTAACTTGTGGATGGCTCATTTATTTTCTTACATGGCAGTTACATTAGGGCATTGAATCAATATACCACATGAAATTATTTTTAGCTTTTAAAATATGTCAAAGCAGATTCTGTAATGAAGAACTGGATGTTCCAAACACCTGTGTACATACAATTGCTTTAACATTTTTAAAAACAGATGAGTGGTTGTTTCTGGAAATCCCTAAGGACAAATAGGCCAAGATCCATAAAGGACATCACCATGATATAGTGCTTTTCTAAATTTATAGTAACCTATTATATGAAGTCATAAAATCCTCCTCATGGTTACTTCTGAGAGAGTGTATTTATGTGTGTGTGTGTGTGTGTGTGTGTGTGTGTGTGTGTCCCCAAGCTTTTGGGCAGCCCAAATATTATGGACATTATCCAAAATATGTAAAAGAAGTCATGTTAATAGAGTATGTTAAACTTTATTTTGATGTGTGATTACTTGGTGACTTGGTAAACCTGCCTTAATCTATTAGGTTTATATAAAAGATTTTAGAGTGGATAACTATTTGCATCCCACTCCTAACCCTGTAGAAAACATTCACAATGATCATTTAAATACACTTCAATCTGAACTTCCTTTTAAAAACAAATAATTAAAATAGTTATATATCTTAATTATATATCTATACTCATTCTACAGACATTTTTCTTAAAATTGAGTAGTTGTTTAAATACAGCATTAAATGTAGAGTATTTCTAGCTATATGAAAAAGACATAAAATTTGAAAATAGAAAAAAAGTCTTAAAATTTCCACTAGTATACAGAAAGATGATCAACTAACATTTCCATGATACAGTAAGATTATTTTTCTAATTTGTCATGAGAGTATAATGAGAGAGGCACTGATATCTTCTCACACCCCATGTTCTGATTAAATAGCCAAATATTTGTATATTTAACTCTGTCTTTCTGAAGATAGCTGATATTCAAACACCAGAAGTGCAATAATAGAAAAGGGGACTTATGAGTGCTTGTTATTCACATAGCCATTTGCAAATCTAGATTGATATGGTCAGGAGATTGGAATGGAGGAGGAAAAAATAATAACATTAACTCTTTCCAAGAATTACAAATAAAAATAACCCAGTAGATGATTATCAATTATGAGTTACACTTGATTAAAATTTTGTTTCATTTTAATATCATTGGTAATAGCAATTAAATTTTAATTGTTTGGAAGCAGATTATACTTCAAGGTCATTAATGTTGGATAAAAGAGGTAACTTTTATAGTAAACCCAGCTACCTTGCAATACTGAGATTGAGCACATGAAATTTCTAAATATACAAATGTATACATAGAGAGCTAAAATGTCTGTAGTATTTAAAACAACTTATTTCTAAGAGAACAATTTAAAAGGAGACTACTTTTTTTCTATTTACTGATCTCATCTTTGTAATGATGTTTAAGTAAGATTGTAACACCATAAAGATTTGAAATATTGTTTGCAAGTCCCCTGGTGTGTGGTTTATTTATTTTTCTCTTTAGAATGAAATGGTAGCACCTTATAAAATCACAAAAGAATGAAATTTGTATTCAAGAAATATTATTTGAATTAAACAACAGAAAAGCCCTCACTCATTCTGCTGTTGTTGGGAGAATCACAGTTGCTACAAACTGTTCACTGGGTCACACACATGGGTTAAGATGCTGAGTACTTATCAAGGTTTACGTGTACCAATGTAGTACTAAACAAATCACAAGTATGAATACTGCATTTTCAATAATAAACTTATCTATCTTTATAACAGTGGGTTTTTTCCCCTTTTTTTCAAGAATTAGGACTGTTAGAAATCATATTTTTTTAAAATTGCCATTCCAAGGCTATTGTTTGGAAATTGGTAGCATGTCTTTTAGTTTATAGTTGGTTATTTTTCTAACATTTATTTTTTTGAGAGACAGAGAGGGAGCATGAGTGGGGGAGAGACAGAGAGAGAGAGAGAGAGAGAGAGAGAGAGAGAGAGAGAGAGAATCTGAAACAGGCTCCAGGCTCTGAGATGTGAGCACAGAGCCTGATGCGGGGCTCGGACTCGCAAACCGTGAGATCATGACCTGAACCAAAATCAGATGCTTAACCTATTGAGCCACTCAGGTGCCCCTATAGTTTATATTATCTTGTTCTTTCTAATTCTTAGACTGCTTCAGTAATTCATATCCTAAGCCAGTATCTTAAAAATTCTAAAGAGAAACAGTGAACCAATTTAATTCAAAATTAATACTGTAATTAATATCACTTTCTTCATAAGCTGCAGACTAACAAGTATTGAATGTTTCATGGAGACCAATCACCATGCTAGTTCATATGATTTACCTCTATAAATCTTCACAATGACAACCCTATTAAGTAGGGTTTTTTGCTACAATTTTTGCTCCTTTTAATTTGTAAGAAACTAAGCTCTAAAAAGCCTTGCCCAAGATTACTGAGATAATCAAATGTAAGTCAAAGCTTACATCTAACCTAAGCTGTCTGACACCAATCGGTCGCCTCCATCAGTTAGCTGTACTTCTTGGGGTGCCTGGTTAAGTCAGATGGTTGAGCATCCAATTCTTGATTCGGCTCAGATCATGATCTCAGTTTGTGGGATCGAGCCCTGCATCGGGCTCTGTGCTGATGGTGCAGAGCCTTCTTGGGATTCTCTGTCTCTCTCTCTCTCTCTCTCTCTACCCCTTCCCTGCCCATTCTCTATCTCTCTTCAAAATAAGTAAATAAGCTCTACTTCTTGCTCCAAATGATACCAAAGAGAATATCAGTTATCAAAATGAATTCATCAGAATGTATGGAAGAGGTAGTGAAGTCATTCCATTTCATTTTTACTAATATTTGTGATTGGGTTTAAAAGACAGAGACTGGCCTTAAGTTTGGCACATTTTAAGCCATCTTAGAAGTCATCATTCATAGCTCTATGTATTGAGAATATCCCTGGTCATTCTGTGGCCAAAACGGACACAAGTTCAGCGTGTTTCCATGGCCTGGATTTAACTTGGCACTGGACAAACCTTATCCTGCACCAGGAATCTTGACACAAGTCTGAGCTGATATTCCTCTGGAGGAATGACAGTACTGAAGAGGTGCAAGAAAGTAGTTGAATCTATTGACTGCACTTCATGGTTTCTTTCTGTTTAGCAACTCAACTGATAAGGTTCTTGAACACTATGGGTGATGGTTTTTCTCTGGAATTCCCATCTGTTCTCCACCTGAAGCCTTAACATTTTTCCATATTTGTTAAAATAGGAAGAATTAGGAGGGATCCTTATTTGACCTCTAGAAGCTCTCAGAATGTTAAGTCAATGAAAGAAAGAAGACAGAGCCATTTTTATAATAATATTAATATTAATAATAATATCTTCCATTTATAAGTCATTCTTTGCCTTGATAACACTCCAGGTAAGAGAATTAGTGACTAAAAAATGAAAAAGTGTCCAGAAAACCTTCTGGGAAAAATGCTGACCTAGTGAAATATCTGTGGGATAATTTGTGAGTAAAAAATTTATTAGTAAAATGAAGAACTATTTGGTACAGTTTGTTTTTGTACAATTCCAAGTCAAAGTTCAAAAGCTTGAAATGTATTATTCCATATATATGTATGCCCCCCAGCAGCCTCTCACCCAGTGCCTTGTGTGTCTGAAGAGGCAGCTCCATGCCTTACTGGTTCTTAGCAGCAGAGACCATGCCTTCATGCAGGCATTTAAGCACTTCTGGCGGGTTGGGGGAGAGGGGAGCTGTCAGCTCAAAATGTCTGCTTTGGCAGAGTCTCTGATGCCTGAATGTCCACTGATTAGTTCAGACACCTTTCGGGGACTATTGTTCATGCTCTTGCCTGGAAAGAACATCACTCTGTGTTCTTTCTCCAGAGTTAGCATCTCTGATGGGGGTGTGGTGAGAAGGCAGGATGCAGGGATAGTAACTGATTTATCTCTTCCTTAAAGTAAATAATGGGTAATTCATCAGTGAAGCATTCCTTTGGGAGGAAAACAAAAGCCACATAGCTAATGGCTGCTGTTTATCCAATTCTCATCCTCAAAGTGGTTGTTTCCCTTCCCAATCATAGATACTAACTAAACCAATGAGATTTGGCCCAAATTGCAACATTCACCCAATGTATTTTTGAGGCGCTAATTCATAGGAATGTCCTAACTACTAAATCATTTAGAAAACAATTGAGTCTTTCAATTTGCAAATCTTTAGATCAATGCCTTCATTAGCTTGCTGGACTTGAAAAAGTGTTTCTAGAAATTCTGCTCCTTCTCATTTTCAAATATTTTTCCAAATGTATTTTTTACTTTTTACTTCCTTCATTTTTTTCCAAATGTATTTTTTCTCATCTCCCTTATAAACCACAGCCCAATTCTCCCTTTTTCTCCTTCTATTCTCCTCTTCTATTGAGTGGAAGGAGAGAAGACAAGCATTGGGCTGTGGCTTATAAATTCCAGTTGTTTTTTATTTCCTTCACAGATTTTTTACCACTGATTTTTTTTTTATATTCTCTCCCTAATAACAAACACTGGTTACATAATTTTTTCCCTATCCTATACTTCTTTTAAAGTTTTCTCCTCCCAGATTACGTTTAAACAACATAGCCTTTGGGACTTCTTATCCTTGCCCATTTGGACCATTTCTTTTTATTTTGCTGATATGTTATTTCTAGGCCTTTTGATCTTACCTGGCCACCAAGATAAATATCTGACACCTGCCCTAATGGACCCGACACTGAGACGTTGGCTCATTTCCTACTATCTTTCCTCTGGTTTAACCCCTGTGGCACTAATTCTTTTTCATTTTTTAAGGATTTCATCTTTTAACTTCTTCCAAAAAGCTTGCCCTGCCTCTCCGTTTGTTAACTTTTGTTCAATTGTTTCCTTTTACTCTAGAACTTAAAAAATAATTTTTGTGATTCAACTGTATAGATCTTTACTTCTCCCACTTTAGCCTGGTGGAACATGTTGACTTTCTGTATAAGAGCTTAATAAGCAGAGTATAAATCCTGTGGATGAGGTATTTTGCTCCAAAGAAGACTCCATGACTAGTGAAATCTATGGGCTGGTAAGCTGTTTGCAAGATTGTTTTCCATATGCCATCTTAACAGCCTCCTATATAAGACATGCCTTCTTCCTCTTTACCCAGCCCTGGGGAAAACTCCAGACTTCTGTTGAACATAATCATTTTTCCCTTGTAAGGTGGGAAGAAAGAAATACTTTCCCTTGTAGAAAGAAAGAAATACTACATCAAGAGCACAAAGGGAGAAGCATATTTAGTTATGGTTGTTGCACTAACTAGATATACCAGTCCCTCTCCTATGCTGAGCAAAATTATAATTTTTTTTAACAAATAGTTTATTGTCAAATTAGTTTCCACATAACACCCAGTGCTCATCCCCACAAGTGTCCTCCTCCATGCCCACCCCCCTTCCCCCCACATCCATCAGGCCTCAGTTTTTGTCAGCATTCAAGAGTCTCTCATGGTTGAGCAAAATTATTTATAAGACTTGGTCAGGACAACTGTAGTTGCAGGAATGACTGGAAGACGACTTAAAGGTATGGGGGTGCAGGTTGAGGGGGTTAATGTCATTTAAATGTTCCAGCTACAACTGCAGTGTGGGGTGATGTGAAATGTGCCTACATATATGTGAGATATGAGGGTTGGGGTAGATGGCATTCCTTCCTTTTATCAGCAGTAATGGAGAAGCATTTAATATGCATACCCCCTTCCACATTCTCCCCATAAACTCCAAGATATTTGATAGGGAATTATCAAAACAAAACTAAACAAAACAAAAAGCTGAAGTTTAATATGACATAAAGCAAAGGGACTAATTCTTTGCACTGTGTTGAAATCCAGTCCTAATTTAGTTCAGAGGGAAGTTTGCCAATGCACTTAAGGCTTGGCTCTTTCTTCTCACATGAAAGCTGGGGTCTTCCAAAGAATATCCTGGGAATTTCCTGGGAATAGTCATTTTATTAGTAGTTATAAATAAGTATAAATAGACATAAGACATCCTTGTCTTCTAGCAGTGACAAACACACAAGTCTGCTAACCAATAGGTACATAGTATGTGGTCTGTGTGTATCTGTGTGTGTATGTTTTGTGTGTGTGTTATACTTGCATACATGTGTTAGAAATGAGTAATCTTCTCTAATGCCATATTGTCATAGCTTTTGTCCTTGGGATCATGGCCTGGAATGTGGACCAGGTTTTCTTGCCTGAGTCCATTCTGTAAGACAGATTCAGCCCCTTGTTTCCAGGAACTGCCATTCTCAAGGTTTTCCTGAGGAAAATGAAAAAAACAACAACAAACACATATTATAGAGTTAGTCTTAATGTATTCCAAATCACTCTCAGTGAATCTTGCTTAGCACCACCTCTCAAGTGATATAATATGATCAAATGATATGATATCAAATCAAATGGTATGTAAATAAGGAAACAATCCATTTCTTAATTCATTACTATAATCATTATGTGTCATTATGTGTCATTATGAATCATTCAATTCATGTAGGTACTATTTCTAATGATAATAAAAACAGAAAGAACAATTTAAATGAGCATTTGCAATATATCTTGTGTTGTGTGAAGAAATGTATATTGTATATCTCTCAGTTATCTATTTCTAATGATAATAAAAACAGAAAGAACAATTTAAATGAGCATTTGCAATATATCTTGTGTTGTGTGAAGAAATGTATATTGTATATCTCTCAGTTAGTATAGTAGCCTTGTAAGGTAGTAGCATTATCTCCTGAGGAGACACAAACCTATGTCTCAGGTGGTGGTGGTGGTGCCCTTCCTTCCTGTGAACAGCAAGGCCTCTTGATCGTAGCAGGGGGACCTGCATGCAGACTCCCCCAGAGGCTGCCCAATGTCATTCTTCAGGAAAGGAACCCAAAAATGACATACTAAGTGCTCTTTCCCACTCACAGCTCGGCCTTGAGAACAGAAGCTGCCCGTATCAACAGGATTTATCATTCATTCCAGGAAATTCTTGCCCAGGAAGATAAGTTGTACATCAGTAAATAGCTTGATTATTTCCTTCTAGAACTTCCTCAAAATGCATTTATCCAAACAATGCAGTGCTTGAGCAGCTGCTTTCTCAACAAAATAGAGTGCCTTCGCATTCTGAACACCTGTCAAGATGGCACTCTCCTTTCTTCAGCAATTGTTAACCTCAGCTTTACTTCACATCCTTATTAATATGGTGTTTTGGGGAAGGAGAACAATTGACCGCTTAGGTGATGTGAGATGGGTGAAGAGTCTGTCTTCTAGAGTACTAAAAGTATGAAATGTGTAGGAATGATGAATGTTAATAAGCCCTAACTAAAAAAAGGAAAAAAAAAACATTCTTGGACTTAATGAGACAGAGAGGCTTGACATAGATAAGACTATTTGGAAACTTAACAGGAAACATTACATCTCCCAAGATCCAGCTGTTGTCAAATGCTGTAATAACTCTGAGGGATTATTGCTCTCTTACCAAATGCACCCAAGACAGTTTTCTTTTCATTCTCAACTTCACTTAGACTCCTGTCCGCGTTCAGTGGGAACCCAAACCTTACCAAAGACATGCCCAATATCCCTCTTGTTAAGGGTGGCATTGCCTGCTTTCCCTGGAGTGATCCCTACCCATCTCTTGGCTGCATCAAATCAATAACTTCAATTTGGTCTGAGCACAGGCTGTTGCTTGTGGCCTTTGGCTGATAGGAGCTTAATGATACTTGGATGGTGACTCTAGTGCTAGTCTAAATTCTCAGTGAGATAAAGGGAGCTGTGCAGCCTGCTGCTTCTCTACCTAAGAAGTTCTCCCAGTCAATCTGACTATATTTACACTTCATGGAGCTAGAGATGTTTGTGTCCAGATGGCACTGTATGGTCTCCTCCAGGTTTTCAGATACAAGCTGAAGTTGAAAGAGGTGAAAGAGTTTACCCAAGGCAAGTAAGACATGGAACCAGGATCACATCCAGGGCTGGCTCTAAAGCCTATGCTATTCACCATGGTACTAGATTGTGCCCCCTATTTTATTCCTTTGCTCCTGTTCATTTTTATATTTTTCCTAGAGTTCACCCTCAGAAGGGTTAAAAGGAATTTTGGAAATTGACCACTTGCAATGCCAACAATTCACCCCAACGGTGCATTTACCTATCAACATATTTATGTGCTCAAAAGCTAATTAACTGAGGTTAACTGAAGCTGAAACTAGATTCAGACTGTAATATTTCTTGCCTTCCTTTCTCACACCACCTTTGCAGATGTTTTAATTGGGCTACAAGGGAATCCCTTTGAGTTCATGTGTGTTTTTCAGAAGCTCAGACATCAGCTCACCTGCTCAGTCCCACTATCATGCTGCACACCACACCAGCACAGTCTTTTGTATTTCTTAGACCAAAAGCAACATAAATTGCAAACAGGTCTAATTAGCAGTGGTTGAATATCCTTGCTACGTTGGAAACCTATTAATGAAAAGACAGATGGATTAAGTGATTGCATGTTTCTAGGTCTTCTATAAGGATTTAAATATTGTATACTTACGAAGTAGGTCACTTCTTAGTATACGGGTGAAAATAGGCCTGACTGGTCAATAGACAGAGTTTGGCAACTGCTCAAAGTGAGTAGGAGGATAGGTTTTAAATATCCACAAACTGTCAGGTCAGGCAAATTCACAGTTTTAGAGTTAAGCAGAGACACCATATTTATTTTTAAAGATGAATTATGGAAAACTCTAATCCTTTGTAGGTCAACATAGGGGATGACAGAGGTCATAATTTCCTCCTTTAGGAAAACTCAGGGTTTTTCACCCAAATCAGAGTCAATATTTGTAAAATTAAAAAGATTATGTTTACCATTTCTTCTTCCTTCCACCTTAATATCCTGAATAAGCAATACCCTGACATTCCCTTCAGCTAATCTAGACTTTCCTGAAACCTTCTTTGCAGTCAATAAAATATACCTATCCAATGTCCCATTCCTTCAAATCCTGCTGTAGAATAAGAGCCACATTGATATTTAAACCAAGATTTAAAGGCTGACAATATTCCCTGCCTAGAACTTTTGCAAATTTTGGTACCATAATAAGTACTCACGAATACCCAATCTCATTCAATGGTAGTCATTAATTCAGTAACCATTTTAGTCTAAGTGTCCCTAAATGAGGTAGCAGAGTAGTGGTTACAACCTTGATCCCATTCCTCCTCTGTATCGGACACTGCCAGTCTACAAGCTTTTTTCTCAAATTTCTTTCTAGGGACAAAAAAATGTAGATTCCTAAAGCTTCAAATTGAAGTTTAAGTGATATAGTTCCTGGCATTATGTTACTCTGTTAAAAGACTTTCAACCAAATAAATTGTACTCCACTTAATAATATTTCTTCTATTAGTGAATGCCTTCTATGTACTAGGCATATTTTAGGAAGATTATAAAATATATCTAATCCTTATAAAATATATATTGTTATTCTTCTTGCATATGTAAGGAAATAATAATTATTCTATGGTTTGGTAAATGATGAAACAATAAATTGAACTTATATGACCTTAAAGTCTGAAACACTCCATTTTCCTTAGTGTATGTGTATGTGTGGGTAGTGAAAAAGGGCATCATGTAACCTCAAACTTCTAACCAAGGGCAGCTCTGAGTAAGAAAAATGTAATCCTGAACCCAACCATTCTCAGGGTATCAAGCAGAGAAGACTTGTCTCTTAATAGACCACAAAAATATCAGACACTTTATCAGCTAAGATAGATACTTCATCTCTCAGGGCAGCAGCTGAGCCTTGCAAAGAAGAAAGAGTTCTTTACTTCACATGGATTTTTTTTTTTAGTTTTTTAACATTTATTTATTTTTGAGAGAGAGAGACAGACAGACAGACAGACAGAGCACGAGTGGAGGAGAGGCAGAGAGAGAGAGAGACACAGAATCTGAAGCAGGCTCCAGGCTCCAAGCTGTCAGCACAGAGCCCGATGTGGGGCTCAAACTCATGAACCATGAGATCATGACCTGAGCAGAAGTCAGACACTTAACCGACTGAGCCACCCAGGCGGCCCTGTTTGTTTTTTTCAAGTTTTTTTTAAAAATTCTAATTAGTTAATATACAGTGTAACATTGTTTTTATTTCATATGAATTTAAATTTAGTTTTATTCTTGGTGAGAGGAAGCCTTTGGGAGATAGTAAACAAAAATATCAAAACTTAGGGCTACAGTTCTCAAAGATAGGAAGGTTGAAAATGAAAATAGAACTCAGGTTTGAAGCTCTGTATTTGTCCTCAATCAAGAACATGTATAATCTGTTTAATGAGCAGGACCTTAGGAATCATGCATTGGAAAAACATCGTCCCCTTCTGGTTGAAACCACATTTGTCAACAGAAACTACAAGACTATGACAGCATCAGTCATGAGAAAGGAGAAGCTGGAAAGGGATGAGACCATTTCCTGTGGATGAGGAGGTTTCTCCCCCAGCAAAAAAAGGAGTTTGCACTTGAAATTTCCCCAAGTGTATCACAACTTTGAATGAATTTGAGAAAGACTCCCCTTCTAATATGTTGGTTAAGGCTCATCTGTGAGATAGGAGGTGTTATGAGAAAAACTCCAGTTTCTTACTTAGATGAAGGAGGAAAGAACTACTCTTAATATTTAACCTTTCTTACTGATTGTTATATTACAAAGGATTTTCTTACTGTGCCTTCTGAGAGCCATGTGTTGCAACATCACTTATTTTTCCCACAATGTATGGAGGCTGTTTTAAAATATATGTTTTATATAGAGAGAGATAGATAGATCTATATCTATATAGATAGATAGATAGATCTATATCTATATAGATAGATAGATAGATAGATCTATATCTAGATAGATAGATAGATCTATATCTAGATAGATAGATAGATAGATAGATAGATAGATAGATAGATAGATAGATATAGATCTATCTATATATATAGATATGATAATCAGGAGAATGCTTTTGCGTATGAGCCTGAAAAGAGTAGACATGTCTTTGGGAAGAAGGGCTTGTTGCTGTGGATCCAAAATCACACCAGTAAGATATCCATCTACCCCACCAATGCATGAAGCTAGCCCATGTCTTTCTTGGCCCCAAAGAGAGGAATCCACATAACCAACCTGTTATGAAGCTGATGATTATCCCAGCAGCAATGCATCCTAGGCAGCCCACTGCACTGTAGTAAAGGTAGGAGAGCGAATACCAGGTGTCAGCGATTGCAGGTCTGTGGATGACAATACCACATGTCAATAGTTCCATGAGTTCTGATGTTATGATCCACAATGACTTAGAGGCCTACTGAGGGTTCACTGTACTGCCTGGAATTTCTCAAAATTCCAACACTTTATTTTTGGCTATTTGGTTATTTTTTTTAAAGAATCAATTGTAGACTAGCTGTGCTCTGTATTGCACGCAATCCAACCTATCCTTGCATTATAAGCATTACAACATATGCACTAAATTATAAGAAGTACAATGAGGAGAGTGCCTTTCATTTCTTTGGTATTATTCACTCTTTAGGCATTTACTAAGCCAAGATTTAGTGCCAAGAATTGTGGCAGGTATCAGAGATAAGAAGATGAGTAAGATGCAGTCTACATATAGGAGCTAATAGACAATTATAAAGTGGAATAGTAGCACCTTGGATTAGGAACAAAGGATTCTGTGAGCATTTGAAAAGAGTATCAGACCCAAGCTTGTGTGTAAGACAATATGTGAGCTTGTTTTTAAAGACTAGTTAGTAGCTAATCAAGGTAGTTAGGGCCAAGATCTAGCACCCTAAGAAAAGAGGATAGAATAAGCACAGGCAGGAGGGAAGAAACATAGTGGACCTAGAAACTATAATAGGTTGATATTATGTGTTCGTAAGATTTATGGAAAGGAATGGTTCTAAACTAAATGAAACTCAGAAGCAAATGAAAGCAAGAAAATGCAGGGTTCATAGATTATGTAGGCAGGACTGCCTACTAGGAGCACAATCCTAGAATGTGGCTTTTCAACGCTGGGCACTGCCCAGAAGGATTCTCACAGGAAAGCATGACCCGGCTCGTCAGACTTCTCCCTGGAGGATGCATCTTCCTCAAACCTGGTTACCCACTCCCTGGGATTTAACATCATCTTTAAGGTCCACACACCTGCTGGATAGCTCTGTAGGTGGTGATTCTGTCACATTTGATGGGATACACTGGTCTGTTGATAAAGGCAAGGGCCATGTCTTGGATGCTGGGGCAGGGTAGATGAAGGCCCCAATGGCCACCCAAAATGACAAGGTGATTCCAGTCAGAAGGCCACCCAGTGCACCCTTGATGAAGGGAGAGAAAAATGAGAGATTTGACAAAACTGTTGAAAGAAAAAGGAGATGAAAAGTCCATGCCTCAGAGATTCGTACTGTCCACCCTAAGTCTTGGCCACATGTGCTGGAAACAGCACACCCAAACTGTTTTTTTTCCCCAACTCCCACAGTGCAGTTTTATTTAGGAATAACTTGTTCCTTAAATGAAAACACAGGAGAATGTTTTAATAGTTACTATTTTTAGGTTTCTAGCAGGAACTTATTTTTCCCCCTCTATTTAGCTGCTTCTTACTATTTAATCTGTCGAGAGACATACAACATGACTATAGTTAACATCACTCTATGGTATATGTGGAAATTGTTAAGAGAGTACATCCTAAGAATTCTCATCACAAGGAGAAGAATATTTGTTCTTTTTTTGTCCATAGGAGATGATGGTAAACTTAATGTAATTATTTCACAAATATGTAAGTCAATTCACTATTCTGTACTTTTTATGTTTATACAGTGCCATGTATCAATTATATTTAAAAACTTGGGGAAAAGCCTATGAAGACTTCAGTTCCCAGTAGAGGAACTTCAGATGAGCCTGTGAAAATCTCAGAAAATGGAGACAATGTGGTGATTTTTTTTATTTACAGCCACTATAAGCTATTATATAGAAATTCTTTCTCTCGTATTTCTTTCCAGGTGATTCTAGCAGAGTCCCTGACTTACAAGCTTGAAGTTTTTTGTTTGTGTCTAAATACTACCAAGCATATTTACCAGTCTTGTCATTTAAGGGTTATACTTCTTGATAGATAAACAGTGAAAAGTCAATGAGTGATAGAGTCATTTCTCCTACAAAGGAGAAAGAGCAGTTTATCACTGACCAGGACCGCTGGAAAATAAAATCTGAATTCTCCCAGCCTCCACTAGAGAGCTGACCCTTCTATGTGAGAGAAAATAACTTGGTAGTTTCTCTGTTTATTCAGAGAAAGACTTTTAGATAACAGGACAGAATGTTTATTCATTATTATTTGGGGAAACTAAAGCAATGTATGTGATTTGAATAGGTATGCTTTGGTCTAGACTTCTAGACCAAACTAGTCTGCAAACTTCTGTTACAAACAGCCAGTTAGTAAATATTTTAGGCTTTGTGGGTCATCCAATGTCTGTCACAGCTATTCAGTTTCTGCTCTATAGCACAAAAACAGATGTACATATTATGTAAACAAAGGGGAGCGGTTATAAGCAATAAAATTATTTTTGGGCACTGAAATATGAATTTCATATATTTGTGGGTCACGAAATTTTGTTCTTTTAATTTTTCCAGTCATTTAAAAATGTGAAAACCATTTTAAGCTTGCAGGCCATACCAAAAACTGGACACTGGCTAGATTTGCCTTGAGGGATGTAGTTTGCTGACCCCTGGCTTACCAGTGAATGGATTTCAACAGGAGGTTCAACCGTCAGTGATTTATAGTAGCTGCCTAGAAAACCATGCTGGGAAGAATTCCATCCCCATGTTGTGGAAAGAGCCATGATGATGAGTAGGATCAGCCATGGCCAGTGATGCAGGGGAGGGAGGTGACCCATATTTGTAATGTTTACCTTCCTCTATCTGGAGCAAGGTGGTTTTCTGGACTAAATGGAAGAACCACAATTCACTAACATAGATAACAAGTTAACGTGTAATGACTAAGATATTCTGTAGTTCATTATTAGTTTTATCATGGTCTTATTGCTTTCCTTCATACTATCTCTCCAAAACATAGCTATCCTTGTCAATCTCAGTATCAGAAAAGTAAACAGAAACAAATAAGACTATAACGAAAGCACTAAAAGTTCCCAAATGCTCCCTACCTATCCATGCTCTTTGCCTAGGTCCATAAGATGTATCTAGGATAGAGGTCAGCAAGGGTCAGATAGCTGTAGTCACCTAATTAGATACCATGTGACTCAAGCTTCATTGAGCACCCTAAAATATATTTAAAAATATGTAGAGCCAGGTTTTTGTAGTCTAAAGGCTCTAAAAATGTTTATGCATATAAGTATATGAATGGCAATAAGTGAAAAAAATGACAATTTTTCTAGACTGAGAAAATTATGATTTTTAAACTGTTTTTAAGAGTGTTATATTACTTTTTAAAGTAAATGCTCATTTTGATTTAAATTTACTATAAAGTCATCCAACCAACATTTACTTAAAGATATATCATTAGGGGCGCCTGGATAGCTCAGTCGGTTAAGCGTCCAACTTCGGCTCAGGTCATGATCTCACGGTTTGTGAGTTCGAGTGCCGCATTGGGCTGTGTGCTGACAGCTCAGAGCCTGGAGCCTGCTTCTGATTTTGAATCCCTCTCTCTCTGCTCCTCCCCAGCTCATGCTCTGTCTCTCTCTACCTCTCAAAAATAAATACACATTAAAAAACAAAAAAAATATACAATTAGCTTGTAAGCCAGCAAAGGCAAGAATATCCGGCTATCAGAATACACCAGTTTTGTTTACTCTCCCCTTCTTAAATTAGTTAATTAAGCTAATTAAATTTGTTATAATTTTAAATAAAATAGAGAAAAAAGAGAAATCTACACAGTGTTTTGTGTCTTCAAAGTTGTCTTTAACCTAAATTATTCCCGAATTCAATATATCTTTTAAATTTCATTTTGTGAGCCCTGAATTTAGGGAGAACATGTAAACCCTAAAGGTCAACACTGATGGCATAACATTCAGTACTTCGTGTCTTCCTCTTACTTTCCTTGTTTTCTGCTTCTAAACAGGCTTCACTGAAGTCAGAGATAGGAGGCTTTGGTTTCTGTTTAGGTCTACCATTGAAAAAAGTCACCATTTTTCCCCCTGGCACAGAGAGATGGCCTTTCCAAGGAGAAGTGAGAAAAAAGAGAAGATATCTGGGCTTCATGAAGCTTCAGCTGGGAATCACGGAGAGCCGTGCAGGATCCTTACCTTCCAGTTCACAAAAGGGAACAGGATTCCCAGAGAGAACAGGCCCAGCATTGGGCCCCCGCACATGCCGTGGATGCTGAGGGCAGCCTGTGGAGCAAGACAGAGCAGATAAATGTGCCCGCACCCCCGAATCCACTGCCAACTGGGATCACTCTCTTTCTCTCTTAGACCCGGGATAAAATTTAATTCTAGTCCTGCCTGTACCACTCATTACCTGTGTGCTTTCTGGAAGTCATTTCTTCCTACTGGGCTCAATGGTAAGTATTATATAAAATAATAAAAATACATGCAACCATACCTTTGTGTGTGTTTGTGTATGTGTGTGTGTGTGTGTGTGTGTGTGTGTGTGTGTATACATACACACAGGTAATTTGGATTTGGTAGAAGTAGTTTTCCCTTAAGGTGGAACTCACTGATTTGTTTACATTTTCTATCTTGTCAAAAAAAACCTTTGTTTTATAATGTACCAAAATAAATATAACTTATGTTTCATGTCTTACAAACTAATCACTTATTCTAATCTTGTTTTAACTATTCTATCACTTTGATAATAATAGATTACCCCACTCCCACCCCCCCCCCAGATGCTGAAGCATTCAGTTGGGACATGGTGGGGAGACCACTAGATACTCCATATCTCATATCCCATTTTCAAGGGCTCCATTTTCTTTGGAGATTGAGGGAGTTTGACAAATGCATTTCCATATGTCTTAGTCTCTAAGTTATTCATCCCATTGCCTTGGCAAACGGCTTTCATTCAACTAAACTGCTATTGACTTGTAGCCTTGTGCCATGACCTTTCAAGAATCTTGGACATACAAGCACTGATATGCATGCAAGTGAACAGGTATGGGCGGGTGCCAGCATGCATGTGCACACACACAGACAGACAGACACACACACACACACACACACACACAGCTATCCTGCAGCACAGCCTCTTTCTTGTTGTTTCAATGCTTCTCTTAGATCTCTTATATCAACAGCTGAGATTAGTATGCTCTATAAAGATCCTATGTGTATCTTAATGTTTGTCAGGCACTGCCTATATGAACTACCTAGGCACTCCAGATAAATGACTTCAGTTCATCCTCACAATTACCCTGTTTAGTAGATACCACTAATTGAATTTTATAGATGAGAAAACTGCACTGACAGAAAACATATTAAAGATATTCCATTCAGAAAATGGAAGAGGTAAGATATAAGAGATTTAAGCTGGCTTTGTTTGGCTATAAAACCCACATTTTCTCTCCTATAGGCAGTCTATGGGGGAAAAAAAGAATGTTTTTTTTTAAACTTTTTTTTTTAATTTATTTCTAGGGGAGAGAAAGAGACAGCGTGAACAGGGGAGGGTCAGAGAGAGAGGGAGACACAGACTCTGAAATAGGCTCCAGGCTCTGAGCTAGCTGTCAGCACAGAGCCCGAAGTGGGGCTCGAACCCACAAACCGCGAGATCATGACCTAAGCGAAAGTCTGACGCTTAACCGACTAAGCCACCCAGGCGCCCCCCAGAAAAAGAATGTTAAGAACACAGACTCTCATAATGGTTCATTTTATTTAAGGGAAAAAATGTTCTTGAAAGTTTCCATCACTAATAGTCAGAATATTTGGATTCTAACTTTGACCCTGCCTCTCATAACTCTGATTTGGTGAATGTTCTGATATTAGTTCAGACACATTCTGTTTCAGTGTCTTCTTTATGAAAAATAGATAGGACCAAGAGCCCATCAAATCCCCTCCATCTGTAATATGAGTTATTTTCTCTAGAAAGATGAGCTGCATGCAATGCATTGTTGTTTGTTTTTCCAGTTTAATTTTTTATGAAGTCAATGTCACAGATAGATCTTTGACAAGATAAAAGCAGATAAGATTAAAGCCGATACTCTTCCCTAAAGTCAATACTTAATTCAATATTCCTGACATTTCCTCTGCTGATTGATAGCATGAATTCATAGTCGCCCTGGTTGCTGAATTTGGAAGCTAATTTACTACCTAGTATATAAGAGAATCAATAAGTTAGGAAAGGTGTTTATCCCTCCCAGTGGAGGAAAATACATTAACAGTCTCATAAAGTCACCAGCCAATATGTTTCTGTATAAAAAGGTCTTCACATGATAGAAAGAGAAAAAAAATCAAGAGTTTCTGGCTTTTGAAGATATGTATTTATGTAACTTACACGGCTGAACTAATGTTAATTTTTATCTTTGTTTCTGTTGTTGTTCTTAAATAGGTTCTGTTGAAGGAAGATTTAAATCTCATCCAACAGCTTTCTTCTCAGCAGGCAAATCTCATGTAAATTGCTCCTGCAAACTGGGGGTGATGAAAAAGAGCATGTTTTTTGGGCTGGGGGTTGCCTTACTGGCCTTAGCTTTCTCATGTATCAAGTGGGAATCATGATGCCTGCTTCCTGGGTTTTCCTGTGAGTAATCAATGTGTAATCTGAGAAAGGTCAGAGCAGTGACTAAGCACTCCAGAGCACATAGTGGGCACCTCCTCAAATGTTATCTACTATTATTGTTTTCTTTTTTCTTTTCTTTACATTTTAATTTTAATTCTAGTTAGTTAACATACAATGTTATATTAGTTTCAAGTGTTATCCACTATTATTATCTCCTTTAACTGTTATTACCTACTCTGTTAGTGAGCTCTCTGACTCCCGAGGCATGTCATTTGATTGTTGGGCTCTTTGGAGACCTAAGAAGCACTTTCTTAACTGGAGAGAAGAATATGCTTGGAACTCATTACAGCCCTTAGCAGAACTAGATGATAGTCATTAAGATAGAAGCATAATCAATAGAACAGCCTTTCTGAAAGTGAACTCTGCAAATCACTAGTTAACACATGATCTTTGCTGCTGTTCCCTGCTCCCTCCCCCTGTTTTTGCCACCACCCTCACCCCCTGTGCCCTCTGCCTCCCTCCATATGGTCTATGGTCACATTTTAAAGTAAAATTGGGGGGGGGGGGCAATGGATGCCTCAGTCGGTTGGACGTGCGAATTCAGCTCAAGTCATGATCTCACAGTTCATGGGTTTGAGCCCCGCATCAGGCTCTGTGCTGACAGCTAGCTCAGGGCCCGGAGCTTGTCTTCGGATTCTGAGTCTTCCTCTCTCTCTGACCCTCACTTGTCCATGCTGTCTCTTTCTCTCTCTGTCTCAAAAATAAATAAAACCTTAAAAAAAATAAAGTAAAACTGGGGGTTCCCGGCTGGCTTAGTTGGAAGAGTGTGCAACTCTTGAGATTAGGGTCATGGGTTTGAGCCCCATGTTGAGTGTAGAGATTATTTAAATGAATAAAACTTTAAAAAATAAATTTAAAAAATTTTTTTACAAAGTAAAAATAAAGTGAAGCAGATTTCTTTATTTTACGACTTCCCAGGGCCTTCAATGTGCTAATGTGGTTGTGGATTTCTGAGAAGGGCATGCAGTGTGCAACATTTCCCAAATGTCCTTGACATTGGAAATTTGCTTGCTTAGAGCATTTCACAGAATGAAGGTCTCCAGAACACACTTTATAAAGTTCTAAGCTTAAACAGTAAAAGGACATTTGCTGAAGAAGATTCTAGTTGCCCACCTAGGCACCATCCACAAATACACACCATGAGTATGGAGTGGCTTTATGAACACGATATTAAACCTGGCTCTATCCCTTATGCCCATGAGACTTGGGCCTCAATCATGCCATGTGTAAAACCTGAATATGAATGTTGTCCCATTATATTCAATATAGCAAAGCTGTTTGGAAAATTAAATAGGGGAATTATAGTTGCCTTTCTGCATCTGTTAAATCAGATGTATTTAGAGAAATGAGAGGGACATCCTATGGACAATATCTATCCTAGGAAACAAGAGATCAGAATTTTCATTTCTTGCCAACCAGCATCTCCTCAAATGTGTGAACAGTGGGGAATACATTTTAAACAATTAAGAACATGGACCCAGCATATCCATCTAAATAAGGACAAGCAGATGAGAACATCATTCATAATCATCCCTTCTTCACTGCAAGCTGAAAATAAAATACTTTATTTTATACCAGTCTTGTAGGTCCTTGTGTATTCTAGATCCCTTCCTACATCAATTGGAAATAAGATTAAACTGCAAACATTTCTGATAGAGAACAGTTTAGTGATTGAAATTCTTGCTAAAATCAGCATGTTGATACTTCCTTAATAGTAAATAATGTTTAGGTAAAGGGGAGAAAGCAGTGGGGTACAAGCCCTCAGAGTTGACTTCTAAATGTGGTCCCCATGAATGCATGGAAGTAAACTTGATAAGATAAAAGATGCTGTTGGGGTCACTAAACCTGTCAGTGCTGCTGTGTGGATGAGCAAATAGCAAAGTGCTCCAAAAACTGGGAAGAGGTTTTCAAGAATCTGTGATAAAACCGTAGGTACCTAGCTTACTGGAGGGAACACCGGGTTTCCAGTCCCACAGTTTCTTATATGTAGACAACTGAACTATCATATCCCTCAATCTCCCTGACTTACTCTCTGGAGCTCAAAATGGAAAGAACGTAATCTGTGTAAGTAGTCATTAGAAGGATCAAGTCAGATGCACAGCTTTGAAAAATAAGACGTGTTCTGTAAAAATCAGTGATTGCTATTCATAAACCTTTATTCATATCTTTGTTGAAGCAACATTTGTTGAACACCTATGCTTTTCCAAGATAACATAAAGGATGTTGAAATAATGCAAAGATGGGATGCCCAGAAGGCTTAGTCATTTAAGCACCTGACTCTTGACTTTGGCTCAGGTCATGAGCTCACGGTCATGGGATAGAGCCTTGAGTCAGGTCCTGCGCTGGGCATGGAGCCTGCCTGGGGTTCTCTCTCTCCCTCTCTCTCTCTGCCTTACTCCTGCTCATGTTCTCTTTCTTTCAAAATAAATAAATAAACATTCAAAATAAGAAATTATGCAAAGATGCAAGGGAGATATAGAGGACTGAAGTAGAATCTGAAGATGGGCTTATCTGCTGTTGCTTCCAAGGTGGCCAATTTGCAAGGGGAAGAGGGGTGGCTCGGGAGACTTGAACCATATACCTCCCTCAGACACTGACAAGTTGTGAGAACCTGAGCAGGGTATTTTCACTCTTTTCTGTAATTATCTACAAAATGAAGATGCTGAACCATATTATCCTTGAGGTTCCTTCTAGTACCGTCTTTTTATGGAAAGGGAAGTTGGACGTACGGGAGGCAGTTCATCCTGGATAATAGATAGAAGTGGGCTCATATGCCAGCTCCTCGCTCCATACTTTTGTGACTCTGGGGTAATCATTTCACCTCCTTATTTCTTAGTTTCTTTATCTGTAAAGTTAGTATATTAATCATGCTACCCTGAGAGAAGTGATAAAAGCTGAATGTGGTAAAACATTTGGGATTGTGTACCTAGAACATAGTGCTCCATTAATAGCAGTTGTTATTATTTTTCTTGTGATTATAATTATCATTACTACTTTTATTTCAGGATCATACATGCTCAGATCTGGATTTTAAAAGGGCAGTGTACCATAACTGACTTCCATTAGTAGCTTTTAAAAGTTTCCCCTTCTGAAAGCAATTTTGGTTGAAATTTTGCATGCTTATTTAATTCAGACCTGGTATCAGAGTCTCAGCATATGGCACTTGGAGGGATAGGCAAAGCCTTAGCATAGAAAGTGGCCAAAAAGTTACTATGAAATCACAGGTGACTTTCCTCCCTTTCATTACCTGCACGACACCTCCCATGAGAGATGCAGCCACAGCCATGGAGGTACACATCACGCCAAACAAGAGACCTGAAAGAAAGAAAACCCGTGACCATCATCCAAGCTGGCTTTGAGGGATTTAATGAGCTCCTGCCCAGGCTGTCTCTGAGGAAGCCATTTTGGAAGGGAACTCAGTGAGAACTGTCTTTGCCACTCAGCCATCACAAGCCCCAAGAGGGTAAGCAAGGGAGAGTTTGTTCCCAGTCAGGCAAAATGAGCTGGAATCCAGCCTTAAGGAGTTTTCTCTCTAGGATTCAGGAAGAAAGATATCATGTAGATGCAACATGAAAATGTGGAAACGACACTGGTCTGGACTAATCCAGATCAAATTAGTGGGAAGTAATTCCAAATGTGACCACTCATCAAAAATCAGCTGAAGAAATTACTAACCTTTCTGGGATTCAGATAGCTTTTCATCGTTAAGACGTCTAAAGTATACATTTTACTTCACGGCGTTTGCAAATCTGTAATGTTTTTCTAATGTTTTCCTTTAGTGTTTTATTCATGTCATCATTATGGCCCTTTGTATATTGCATAATGATTTATTTGTTTACATATCTATGTGGGAGCCCTACCAAGGCCATCAGAGTACCTTGGCTTGAAGCATTTCACACAGGGCCTCTAATACCAGAGGAGCTCGCCCAGTGAAGTAACATAGATGTCTTATTCATCTTTTTAAGACGATGGTTCTTTCAAACCACCTTTTAAAAAATAATTGTTTTTATACATCTTTGTGTAAGGATCATCTTAAAATTACATTCAATTCTCATTGATTTGAGAACTAAATTAAGAGAGGGACAAAGGGACAAAGAGTTGGAGATATAGACAGAGACACAGTGACAGAAATGGAAAGAAAATGATTTTGTGTATTCTGCTTGAAATTATCTCTCAGCTAAATATCTAGCTCAGTTCCCAACATGATTATTAATTCAATTTTATGGAGTACTGACAATATGTCAGGCACTTTACAAATGCCAGTGCTATAAAGTCAGAATCTGAATCCTGTCCCAAAGATCCCACATTCTAAGAAGGTCAGGAAGGGACTACACATAAATAATACATCCAATAGTGCCTATACATAGAAAGTACCATTCATTTGCCATTATTATTACTATTATTATTATTATATTTCAGGCTTAGTACATGATATACATGATATATATTATAAGGAACTCACTCCTAAAATGAAATCAGGCTAGCAATGCTCAATGCAACATTTTCCAACTTCTCAATAAGATAGAAAAATAAGAAAGCTCATGACAACACTAAAAACCAAATTTGATCAGTTAAAACATTTTGGGATTCTAAAACTATTCTCATTATCTTTAAAGATGATAGACTGGACTGCAAAAAACAGTATTTTCCCTGATTCTGAACTGCTTCATGAATAAGAAGAAGAACTCCATATACCTGAAAAAATATCAAAAGACATGTTTGCTGTCTACCACTGATTTTCCTCCTGCTAGGCTAACAGTTATCTGTTCAAGTGAAATTCTAGGCAGCCATCTCTCAATCCAGGGGTTCTATTTTTTTTTTTTTTTTTTTTTTGCTGACTAGAGAATTGATTCAGTCCCCCTCCCCTTCAAACATTATATTTCCACCACCAGATTACAACCATTACAATCAATGAGGCGGGAAATGTAGGGAAAATTGGTGGGACTTCATAGAGACCTAGAGTGAATGGCACCGCAAATAAAACAGTATATGTGGGAGGGAGAGAAAGTTCCACAGTTGCAGCAAATGCTATGAATTTTATAAGTGCTATAAAATCAGGATCAGACAATAAACCATGGGCATAGAAGATATTTATACTATCATAGAACATATTTATTAATATCTTCGAGAAATTGGGAATTGTACTGGAAGTAATGCCCATCCACCTGCTATTAGCTTTAATCTATGTTCATGACAATGAATAGAATCAAGGCCATTCACCTACCTAATTAACAAACATGTGGTCAGCATTGATCTTTCCTTCTTTGTTTAAGCATAAGTAGAAAAAAAAAAGAAATATGGAATCCATGGCAAAATATTGCCAAACAAATGAATATATTAACCTAAAAGCTCAAATACGGAGTATGCTTTGTAGAAATAATTTACTTTAGGAACCAGAAGGAAAGTATTTAGAAACTGTTTGGCAATTTTAATATGATGCAAAAACACATAGACTCAATGAAGCAAACAAGTTCAGGTCAAGAGAAAGTAAATGAGATGAAGAAAGGCAAGATAGGATGCAACACCAATAAGTTTAGATACGGATGGGTCCAGGTGGGCTAAGGAAGGACTATAAAGAAATAAAAAATGATAATTGATCAAGTACTTCCACTCCTAAGTAGTTACTAAATAGAAATAAAAATATGTTCATAAAAAGACTTGTATAAGAGTGTTCATAGCATCTTTATTGTTTATAAACTCAAACTGAAACAGTCCAGGTCCATCAACATAAATAGAAGTTTAAAAAACTGTGGTATATCCATATAACATCATATTACTCAAAAATAAAAAGGGATGAACTACTGATATATAAAACAACATGGATAAATCTCAAAAACAAAACCATGCTGAGTGAAAGAAGTATTACAAAAACAGAGTGTGTGCTGTGTGAGTCCATGTATATGAAATTCTAGAACAGGTAAAACTAATCTATGGTGGAAAATATCAGAATAGTGGTTGTTTCTGAAGGTGAAGGGGAAGGGGGAACAGGGATTGACTAGAATGAGCAAGAGAGAACTCTCCAGGGTAATGGTAATGATTTATATCTTTAGGGCTGGGTGGCACAGGTATATGTGATTGTCAAAACTCAGCAAATTCGGAGTGCCTGGGTGGCTCAGTCGGTTAAGCGTCCAACTTCGGCTCAGGTCATGATTTCACTGTCTGTGGGTTCCACCCGCATTGGGCTCTGTGCTGACAGTTCGGAGCCTGGAGCCTGCTTCAGATTCTGTGTCTCCCTCTCTCTCTGACCCTCCCCCGCTCACTCTCTGTCTCTCTCAGAAAAAAAAAAAAAAAAAAAAACCTCAGCAAATTCACTTACAATTTGTCTATTTCATTGTAGGTAGATTTTTACATAAAATCTTTTAAGGGTACCTGGACTACCCAGTTGTTTTAGCATCCAACTCTTGATTTTGGCTCAAGTCATATTCCCAGGGTCATGGGATCGATTCCCTCATCGGGCTCCACTCTGGGCATGAAGCCTGCTTAAGATTCTTTCTCCCCCTTTCTCTTTGCCTCTCCCTCACTCACACATGCTCTTTCTCTCTCTCAGGAAAAAATTTAAAACAAAGTACTAAATTCTAGTTAATAATGTGTATGCTAAAATAATTAGGAAGAAGTATACTGATGTCTGCAATTTACTTTTAAATGTATCAAATATATGTTATATTGAGGATGGATAGAGAGCTGGATGGATATATGAAAAAGCAAGTTTAGGATATTAATCGAGAATCTAGGTGGTATATATGAGAATTCAAGGTAAAAATCTTTAAATTTTACTATAAGATTGAATTTATATAATAAAATATAAGGAGTGAAGCACAATCACTGAATTAAAATCATTATTTTTAAGAAATTTGCTTTGTGGAGAACTAAGAGCAACACAGTGAGGAAAGTAACATTAGAGGAAATGAACAAAATTACAAAACTAAGAGAAAAAGTAAAGGATATATAGAACAATCCAAATTAGAACATTTAAGAATAAGAAGATAAAACAATTGGTATTTGCAGACACTTACTAGAAAACCAATTAGAATTTTAAGAACCAACAAGGGTTGGATAAACAGCCAGATACAAAACAAAATAAATGAAAAGCTGAAGGTGTTCCACATTCATAATAAACGGCTTAGAAGATACTATGGAGAAAGCATCCCATTCATAATACCAATGAAAGAAAAAAAAAAAGAGAAGATAAAGGAAAATGAGAAGGGAGAAAAAGGGAAAAGCTGAAGGAGGAAGACATGAGTGTAATTAACATCCAGGATAGAAAATATGATAATATTATAGAAAAATACTATTGCTAGATGGAAAGCTTACAAAGATGGTAATTCTTCCCCAAAATATTTTTAGATTTAATGTACTCCCATTGAGATGGAGTTGCAGATCCATGATGTGCAATAAAGTATTTTAAAGTTAATCTGAAGAATATGTAAACATGTATAACCCAAAGTCTGTTTTTGTAGAAAAAAAAAGGAAAGTTACAATTGAAAAAATTTTAAATTTTAAGCTAACAGAAAAGTGACAGGAGTTGTTCTAGCAGATATTTTAAGTGAAATACTATAAAGCTAGAGTATAAACAAGATGCTATTAGTTTTACAATTGATAATAATTTAATGAAATAAGTATAGGATATTCTTAAACAAATTCTTATAGATGAAAGAATCTCATATTATATATTATCATCACTGAAATATTAACAACCAGTGAATAATATTAGATTAATGATGCTGAGAAAATTGACTGTACAGGAAAAAAATTTAGATCCTCATCATAAATCAAATAATTTAAATACAACTAATATGAAACATAAAATTATTTACAATGTAGAATAAATAAAGAAATATTTAAATGGGTTTTGAATGGGAAGAAATTTGTAAGCATAAGAAATGGATAAAATAGTAAAATAAATGATACATATATTTCACCAAATATGTAATTATAATTTCTATACATCAAAATGCATTTAAAAATATCTGGAGGACATTCTTCAATATGCAAAGGTTACATTTCCTTTATCCATGAAGAGATTTTACAGACAAAACTTCTAATATCTCATCAATAAACAGAAAGCATAAATAAATTTTTCACAAAAATACAAATGGTTATCATCTGACAAGGGTTTAAATTCACTATAAATCAAAAAATGTAAACTAAAGCAAAAATGTGATGTTATTTTGCCCATGAAGTTGGCCAATTTTTAACAATACTAATATCAAGAGCATAGAAAAATATGCCATTACTCACTGCTGCCACACATAAATATTACTCGGACCATGCTAGAAATATTTTTCATGAGTATGTTAAGAACTGCCAGTGAATTTGTATTATTTGATCTGGTAATTTTCTTTTGGAGGTCTTTATTAAGGAAAAAAATATGTATGCCATCATAGATTAATGTATATGAGGGTCATCAAAATGTTATAAAAAATGACAAAAAGATTTTTAAAAGTATCAACTTAAAAATAAAAATGTAAGCCTCTTTGCAGAATATTAAGTAAACGTTAAAAAACCATGTTTTCAAATAATGCATAAATGACACAGGAAAATGCTCACTATAGTATGCTGGAAAAAACCAACCAGGAGCAAAATTAGGTATAATTTTATTTAAAAAGTACATATATTTTCTCTATTTATTTATTTTCTATAGTAAGTGAATAAGCATATAATTGGTTTATACTTAAAAAGAAATAAGCTTTGTAAAACTATAATTCAGTATGATAAGTGCTACAGTGAGCATACTCATAATATGCAATGTGTGATTAGGCAAGGAGTAATTATTACTAGAAGTGAGTTTACCAGGAGTTTGGTAATAAAAAATTCTTTAGAAAAGAATTAGACATAATGTACAAAATTGTCAAATCACCATGTTGTACACCTGAAACTAATGTGATATTGTGTGTCAACTGTACTAAAAATTTTTTAAATAAATAAATAACAATAATAAATAATAAAAAGAAAAAGAAAGAATTTGACTTTATCAGACAAAGTGACTGGCTACAGTGAGCAGAACATCTTCACATGTAGAGGGATGAATATGATCAATACAAGGCATCATCAAGAAATGTTGAGGTGATAAATCTAGAGTATAGGGGGAGTACAGAAGAGTGTCAAATACAGGATCGGTGAAAGGTAAGCTAGCTGGTAATTCTTTCCTGTTAACCCTCCTGGTATCTTTGAAAATGTGAATCCATGTGTGAAATCCCTCCTACATCTCAGTATGCATTTGTGCCTGTAAGTGAGCGCTGAATAGCATGTGCAGGTTTTGACATGTACCACATGTATATTTCATGACAGGGAGTAGAAGATCCACCGGCTGTACCTACATAAGCCTTTACTGATCCACGTGCTCAGCTTGTCGGAGAGATGGGGAAAACAGCTCTTGACAAAATCCTCAAAGGTCACTGTTGCTAAGGCATTGATGCTTGCAGCCACAGTGCTACAGGGAGAGAAAAGCAAGAACACAGTCCAAGCTAAATAAAGCTGACCAGCCTGCCCTGTCATTCAGAGCAAATAGACAAGACAGGGCTCTAGAAACAAAAAACAAATGCAGACATATGTCCTTATTCTGGGACTTCAGGGAGGCAATGTGGCCCGCCTACTCACTCTTCAAAGCTGCTTCTGTGCTTAGTGCTCCTTGATTTCTCCTTCTGACTTAGTGAGGAAGCTAGACTTTCATGCCCTAATGCCTACTAATGCCCTGAACAAGACATTAAATGAGTTACCAGGCAGTAATAGAGAGGTTGTGCATGCGCGCGCACGCGCGCGCGCGCGCGCGCGTGTGTGTGTGTGTGTGTGTGTGTGTGTTTAGGTTGGACTCGAGGCAGGAAACACTGACTATCTTAATCCAGGATTAAGATAAATCTTAATCTCAGTTTGCCATTCATTAATCATTCATTCATACCATTTATGAATCTCTCCATTCTAGGTATTAGGCAGACAGTGGTAAACCAGAAAAGCACAGACCTTATACTCTACTTGGTGACACAGACATTCAACAACCAATTATACAATTGATCACAGTTGGTATGAAGAAAAATACCAAGGTGCTATCAAATTATGCCTTGCAGAGTCCTAAAGTGATACAAAGTTAGGGAATTCTTTCCTTAGGAAATGATGATTAAGATAGGCACTGAAAGGACCCATGCAAATTGGGAAAAAGATGTTCTAGAGCAAAGGGAAAATTACATTTAAATACCTCTAGATGGAAAACTTGTTGCATTCAACAACCTGAAGCCACCAGATTGAGTAGAATGCAATTAGTAAGGGAAAAAGGAACAAAGGATAAGATGGAAATGGGCAAAGACTAAAACCACATAAAAATGTTGATATCCTCCTCTGACTTTCCACTCAGAATCCATTCTTATGGCCTTAAAACTCACTTTCATGACAGGCGACCTGGAATTGGGGTTTTCTTTGCAGAATAACATGGAAGCTTATCTAATTTCTCATAAAGAACATCCTCCTTAAGGTTGTAGCAGAAGTAATCTCTCCATAGCATGCACTGCAAAGTATGTCCCTTTGTTAGAATTTTTGGTCTTGAGACCAAAAGAGCCAACCACTCTCTTATGGGGGAATTATCTTTTGACAAATACATGTTTTCCAGTCTAGAGAGACTCAGCCTTAGAGCAAGAGAAAAAGATAAATAAGGAAAGCTCTGTAGAGAGGGACAAAATAAAAGTTAGAATGTCACCCCTCCCTGTGTTTGACTCTCTGATGCTCATTTTTTCTGTCCTGAGTTTCCCTGAGATCTTAATCTCTACACCACAGAATAATATCACTTGGTGTTCTTGAGGCAAAACCCTAAAATAATTAGTAAAAATAGTTCAATAATACACTAAATTAGAATTTCACACTGAAGCAAGTTAAAGTCATTATATAAATTCAAAGATGTTGCTGTTTTGGAAATCTGTCAACAGCTTTATATGCCAAAAGTTAAAAAACAGCCACTTCAAAAATTCCAAAAATTTACTAACATTTAATATCTCTGATAAAAACTTTCCTAAAAGTAGAACAAATATATGCATTTTGTTCTTTTTATAATTTATTAACTTAAAGTGAATATTCTTAAATGTTAATAATATCTCTCAAACTAAAACTTGATATCACATTTAATGGTAAAATCCAAGAGCCATTTCCTTTAAAGTCATAACAAAAATAAGAATTTCTGCTAACCTTAATTATTACCATTGTTCTCAATGCACAAGTATATGAGAGTGAACATAGAAGTGTAACTATTAAAAAACGAAAAATTCGGGGCGCCTGGGTGGCTCAGTCAATTAAGCATCCGACTTCGGCTCAGGTCAGGATCTTGAGGTTCGTGAGTTTGAGCCCCGCGTCAGGCTCTGTGCTGACAGCTTGGAGCCTGGAGCCTGCTTCTGATTCTGTGTCTCCCTCTGTCTCTCTGTCCCTCCCCTGCTCATACTCTATCTCTCTTTCAAAAATAAATATTTAAAAACAAAAAAAAAGGAAAAATTCAAAAGTATTTGCATATATCACAATTTCTGTACAATCAAATCCAAAAGAATTAACTGAAAATAATTAGGAAAAAAATTTTAGATAGCAAGGGAAATTCTGTAAAAAGGAAAACATTATGAATAACAGATATCAAATCATATTTTAAAGCATAACAGTTAAAATTATTAGTGTCTATATCATTATAGATAAATAGACCAAAGAAATATAAAGAAGATCTTGAAAAAGACCCAACTATATAGAAGAATGTAGGATATAACAAAAATAGCATTTAAAGTCACTGGTGAAAAGATAGCTTATTTAGTAAAAAATAATGGGACAACTGGCTACCAACCTAGAAAGAAAGTAAGTGTGGAGGTCCACTTCATTTTTTATACCACACATATAGTCTAGATGATTTGACGACTTTATTATTTAATAAGACCATAAATACACTAGAATGTGTCTGGGTTATTAGTTATAATGATAGAATGGAAAAGTCTATCCGAGAATAATATTAATCCAGAAACCATAATGTAAAAGAATTGGTCAATATAAATGAAAATCTCCATATACTCATACTATAATGATAGTATGGAAAAGCCTATCTGAGAATAATATTAATCCAGAAGCCATAAAATAAAAGAATTGGTCAATATAAATTAAAATCTCCATATACTCAGAAGTAAACATGAACTGGCATGTTACAGAACAGGAAATACAAATCGACAATGAAAGTAGGGAAATGTAGCCTATCCACTTATGATCAACAGAATTCAGATTCAAATTAGGTACCATTTTTCACCTATTAGTTTGGCAAGTTGAAAAGTTTGAAAGCACCCAATATTGGTGGTAGTGTGAGGAAAGAGACACTCTAGTATCTTCTTTTTAGAATATAAATCATTCAGAATTTTTACAGCTGATTTAGAAAAGTCCATGAAAGTTTAAATGATCAAGTATTTTGGCACAGTAATTCTACTTCTTGGAATGTAGCCTACACATATCCTTGCACAATTTCACAAATATATACACTGTAATGTGTTATGGATTAAGTGCTTGTATTCCCTCACAATTTATATGCTGAAGCCTAACCCCCAATGTGATGGTATTTGGAGCTGGGGTCTTTGGAAATGATGAAGTCATGTCAGTGGAGTTCTCATAAATGGGCTTAGTGACTTTACAAAAGAGATCCCAGAGAGCTCCCTTACCCCTTCCACCATGTAAAGACACAAGAAAATGGTCACGAATGCGCCAGGACTTGAGCCCTTACCAGACACCAAATCTGCAAGGGCCTTGATCTTAGACTTCCTAGCCTTAAGAACTGGAAGAAATTGTTTTTTATAAGCTGATTAGTGTATGGTATTCTGTTATAGCAGTCTTAGCAGACTAAGAGATAAATTTGTTAGATATGTCTTACATTAAAGGATTGATCAAATAAATTATAGATTAAAAAAAAGAGTAGGGTAGATCTAATGGTGTGGAAAGATTTATAAATTATATCACCTTAAGGGCTCCTGGGTGGCTCAGTCGGTTAAGCATCCAACTTCATTCAGCTCAGGTCATGATCTCATGGTTCATGGGTTTGAGCCCTGCGTTGGGCTCTGTGCTGACAGCTCAGAGCCTGGAGCCTGCTTCAGATTCTGTCTCCCTCTCTTTCTGACCCTCCCCTGCCCACACTCTCTCTCTCTCCCAGAAATAAATAAAAACATTAAAAAAAATTATATCACCTTAAATGAAACATAATATGATCCCTTTTCGTTCACTAAAAGGTATATATGTTCCCATAAGCAAAGAAATTTTAGGGTTCATTGATAAGAAATCGTTAACAGTGGTTAACTCTGCGGGCTGAGACCATGGATTTGAGGAATAAGATATAAAGCTTTTACTCTGATCTTCTGCTAGTGTTTGACTTTTGACTCTGGCCGTTTTACTTTCTTAAAATTATATTTTGACAAACTTTATCAATGATTATCTGCAACTGAACTGCAGGGAGGGAAAGGAAGCTTTTCCAACTCGCTGAGTTCATAGAGGCAGAAGATCTGGCATAAAGGAAAGTAATGAAACTACATTGCTCTCAACACAGTTGTCTCCACCCTTCTACAAGTTACCAGCATCCTTCACCTGCATCAAAGCAAATGCCCGCTGCTGGTTTTCCACTTTTGTCACTCTTGCTTTTATCATAGTCCCTTGCCTCAATAGAAGCATGAGGCTTCAGTTGTATGGCATCACCCACTCCCCGGCTTCAAACCTTCTGAAAAAATTAGTAATGGGAAACCTCATTAAAATGCAGTCAGGAAGTTTTGGCAGGAGGAGATCTCATGCCCTACCACTTATAGTCAATTGCAGACCATGAGGAAGACAGAAACTTGACCTTGCAATTGGATACTATTCTCTATTCCAGCTTGAGGAAGGCAAGCTTTCCTCCCAGAAACCACTAGGCCAATGAAAAGTTGCCGCACTTTGAACTCCCAGTTTACTCCATGGTCTTATTGTTCATAACAGCCTTCTCAACTTAGTCTTTTTCTCCTTATAAAAAAGCATACCTCTCCATTGTTCCCCAGACTTTCACAAGGTTTTGCTACAGCTTATTTGTCCTGGATTAAAATTTTCTTTTATTTTTCAATAAGCCCCAATAAGTCCATCTTTAGCTGGTAAGATAATTGGCAGTATTTATCTTCTAATGCCTTCCCATTTATCTTAAGATCCAAACTACTTCATAAAGTTTTCTGAGTAACATTTTGTACATTGTGTGAAGCAAAACATTTACCAGGCCAGCTGACACACAGTAAGTACTCAGTAAGTACTGGTGATTACTTCCACCATCACCCTTGTCATATCACACCCTTGCCATCACCGCTGTCATTATCATCAGCATCATCAGAGCAGGGTGTTGTCAATATACTAACCTCAGAGTTCCGCTGAAGGCACAAGCCACAAAGAGTCCAGGCAGTCCTGGCATTGTGAAAAATATCTCCATGACAAAGTATGGCATCAGCTTTGGAGGTAAAACAAGAGAGAATTAATCAGCAGAGTCTGTAATGTGAGAATGTTGATTTTTAGCAAAGGAGGTAGGGAAAAAAATAAATGAAAATAATAGAGGAGTTTGCATGGGCTAAGGTTGTCAAATGCTTGCAGTTGAAATTATGATCAGTCCAATTTCATGGGACCTGAGGTCCAGCTCCAGCTATAGGGGAGGAGGAAGGGTGGGAAGGGGCAGCTGATACTAGGGAAAGGGGCTGTATGAACTGTAGAAGGTTCAGGAACTTGTTTTATTTTTCTTATGTTCACAACGTATGCCATTCCCTTTCCTGTTTACCCTTAATATTAGTAGTTAAATCCTAACAACAAATGCTTAAAACAGGTCTTCAGGGAATCGAGGTATTATGGTTCTACTCTGTAGCCTGATTTGTGAGATGGGAACATACCCCCCTCCCAGGACAGAGGGGACAGTGAAATATACAGAGGGGAGAGAAGTGATGGTTCCTCCTGAGCATATCCTCCCTAAATGGAGGGTTTTTAAAATGTTTATATATTTATTGAGCGAGAGAGCAAGAGAGAGAGAGAATCCCAAGCAGGCTCCAGGCTCAGCACAGAACCCAAGCCCAACTTGGGGCTCGATGTCACCACTGCAAGACCATGACCTGAGCCAAAATCCAGAATTGGATGCTCAACCACCTGAGCCACCCAGGTGCCCCATATAAATGAAGTTTTTGAAAGCACATTTAATGTACTACATTGGGTTGATGGTGTTCAAGGTATGATGAGAACACATGAGCAGAAGCAGTATAGTAGCAAGGGTAATTTTGTTCAATCTGAGAATAAAGCATCTTTAATGAACCTTGAGACATATAGAAAAAAGAATTGAAATGCTGCATGGACAACCAAAGCCAAGGGTTCAAGTCTAACCTCCACTCTCTCCAGCCATGTCCTGGCCCCTGGCCTTGTCTTCAAGGACAAGGTGAGATACAATTTTACATGTCACTCCCCCCTATTAGAACCTGGTGTGTAGTGATATCACCCAACAGGAGAGGAAACAAATCAATTCTATGGGTCTTAGGAAGTGCCTTGAGATCCAGGTGAAAAAAGAGAAAGAACCCATATTACTCATTTATGGCCAGATGAACACTGATTTCAGCAATTCTTTATGGCCCAAAGGGAACACATACCTGATCTGGAGCTGAGATAATGCCAGAAGTCCAAGGGTCACAGTCTTTGAAGTGGGAGTACATGATTAAGCCAGAGAAGACAGCACATACCAGAATGATCCAGAGACCCAACAAGTTAAAATATAAGGCTCTAGAAAAGAACACATATGTCTATCAGTAGCCTCTATGCCATATTATGGGATGATGAAGATATCACCAAAAGTTCAAGGTAAAAATTTGGGGGGCTTTTTTCTATAAAATAAAATTCCACAGCCTTCAAGAACCATTACATTTTACACTTTTGCAATTTTTTTTTTGTTTGGGAATGTTACATTTTTAGACTGATTACAAAATTTGACTGAGGATTTTTGATGGCTTTTCTCTTGACATTAGGAGTTTTTCTGCACAGTCTCAATGTGTGGTATAAGATCTTGGATGAAATTTCACATACCAATCACTCATATTATGTAACTTCCAGTGATTTTCTCCCCACTCAATTCATAAAACTGTCAAAAAGTGAACTTACATTTTAACATCTTTTCTTCTAGGGGGATAATGAGATAAATGTAGAAGTAGACACATTTTGGAAATATTCACTTTGGAGACTGATCCAGATGAAATTTAAAGTTGATTTTTTTAGAGAGAATAGAAAATATACAAAAGCTAAGGTCATTTTACCCACATTCTGGGGAGCATTTTTTTTAATTGTACAGCACACAGGTACACTTAATTCTAGTTCGAGTGCCTTGGCAGTATGCTATGACTATATTGTAGCCATTACTGATTTTTCAAGGTCAAAATATTACTAATTTTCTTCATCTCAAGGAAGACTTGAGAGTGAGCTGGACTTATATAACCAGCTTCATTCCGGAGAGCATTTCAAAGGGCTAGGAGAGCAACAGTGGAGAATTTATTGGGTCCAGTCATTGTTCAAAGGGAATCAGTTACATCCACATTTAAACATAAGGACACATGTTAATTTCAAAGCCTCCTAACACCTATAATATATAGGTGTACCTAGCTTTCATAAAACCCTTAAGTCAAACTATTCATTTATGAAACAAATACGGTTAAATAATTATCTCGTTTGGGAGTTTCTATTTTCATACACTATTTATACTAGAAGAGGCACTTATCCCAGAAGTTACTTCCTTGGGAGTATTCTAACAATGCTTAGTTTTGACTTACAGGTTTGTTTGTTTGTGTTTAGAGGGGTTGAGTTACAGATAGTTGTTTGGGAATATAAGGGACACATGAAGTGGCTAATACCTATTAAGCATTGCTTACACTCTTGCTTTCCACCCTTCCAGACAACTGGATTCAAGCCTTTACTCAGGCCACTTCTGAGAGAGGCCTCCCTGACCTTCTTTATTTCAAACAATCACTTTCACCTGTCTTATCTGTTTCCACTCCTTATACTATTTTACAGCTTTATAGCATATATGATAATCTGAAATTGTATAATATATTTATTGCTTATTATTGGTTTCTTTCACTCAAACACAGTGATAAAGAATAGTGGTGGCACATAGCAGACCTGAAATTATTTTACTTGGGGTAATAAATAATTGAATGCCTTAATTAACTAATGGTAGAGATTGAGTACAATATGATTGTACTCTTTATATCATTTATTTTTTAAAGAGAACATTGGGCCCAGAGTCATAAGATTTTATCCATAACAGCCATCTGATCTTAGACAAGTTATATAACACCCTGAAGCGGTTAAATCATCTGTAAAAAGAATGTTAACACACCTGCTTTACTTCTATTATAGGACTAGTATAAGGATTTAATGAGTTACATTTGGTTAAAATAAATGTAGGTTATATAGCCATATAAAGAACATTCATACATTATTCAGAAACAATTTTAAAAGTTCACCAGATGAGAAACCAATGGCAAGACTATATTAAATATTAAGGTCCTGTGTTATGAATTTGTTTTTTATTAGAAATGGACTGTGATTCTTTACAAGCTAATTCTCCTACTTGTAACTTAAGCCACTCCATTGATTCATTCAAAAAATATTTATCAGGCATCTCTATGTACTAGGTTGTTCTAGATACTAGGGTATAGCAGTAACACAGGACCTATCCTCACGGAGATTAAATTCTGGGATTAGAGACAGATCACTGAAATGAAATAAATGAATAAGATGCTTTTAGATGTGATAAAAGACATGAGGAAAACAAACTAAGGCAGTAAGAACAGAACAAAAGTGACTTGTGTGGGTGTGCTCATCTTAGCCAGGAGATGGGAAGGAATCTGAGAACTTGCATCAGCCCATACTACATAGCACCATTTACAATCAATGCTCTTGAAAGACAAACTTGAAAGTGAAACTGATAAACCTCTAGAAACAAGAGGAGGTTAAATCAACCTCCAAGGAACACATCTAAAATGACACGGTGGATGATACTATTTCTAGATGTGAGGAAAATCAGTTGGGCTTACGATCAATCAAATCATCTTTAGTGACTAATCAGCATTCCTGGCCATGAAATTATATGCATAAATAAATGCTGGGTTTTAACTCATGGACACAGTCAGTATGAACATTCTGGATCCATTTTCACCTACAAATGTTTCAAGATGTTGTTTTCCCAATCAGCAGAGCTTTTCCTAAACTCTGATGGAATGTTTTAATGGCACCAGGCTCTCAGATAATTGAACAGAAGCAGAGCATTTAATCAACATTCTGCAGACACACACACACACACACACACACACACACACACACACTCCTTTGCATACAGACATACATAAATAAGCATATTTCTACATAAATATGTGTTTCCAGGTATGTGTTTATACATACACATGTAAGAATGGCCTTTGTGAAGCATTACTTTTAAATAAGTGATAAATATTTAATAAGAACAAAATATTATTCTTGACCTTGTGGGAAAAAATGATGAAAAAGGTGCATTTCCTTATTTTCAGGTACTATCATAGTAAAGGGGGAAAAATTAGGCATGTTCACAAGAAAAAATAATGTAACACAAACGTAAGATTAAAAAACTCTAGAGGTAACAGGTTTATTATTTATTTCACCATAAGATCCTTCCCTATAGAGATACATCACCTCCATTTTATTTATTTTATTTATTTTTTAATTTTATAATTGAGAGAGTGTAGAAGCAGGGGAGAGGGGCAGAAGAAGAGAGAGGATCCCAAGCAGGCTCCATGCTCAATGTGGAGCCTGACACGTGGCTTGATCCACAACCCTGGGTTTCTGACCTGAACCAAAATCAAGAGACAGACACTCAACTAACTGAGGTACCCAAGCACCCTCAGTCAACTCCATTTTAAAACAGAATTTTAAGTGAATTTTCATTTAATTTATTTTTAAGTAGGTTCTACACCCAACATGAACTCATGACCCCAAGATCAAAGGTCATGTGCTCTGCCTACTAAGCCAGGCAAGGGCCCCTAAAAATGAATTTTAATTTCAATAAATTGTGAGATCAAGGTCACACTTGATCTTACATTTTCAGTAATGCAGCTCTTTGATAAAGTGATGATTTTGTGTGGAGGGTATGTTAATATTATTTATTGTAATAGGGTATGAATATGGTATCAGTGAATGAATGGAATACTAGATAATACTTTCAATTCTTCCATCTGAGAGTGTGTGAAATATAGAAGTAATATGTGCTCTTTTGGAATTTAAGTCAAAAATGGTGAACCATATCCCAGCAATGTTATCTTTTACTCAGTCTAAAGAAAACTATGCAGGGGCACCTGGGTGATTCAGTCTGTCAAGCATCCAACTTTGCCTCAGGTCATAATCTCACAGTCTGTGGATTCAAGCCCCACATCCGGCTCTGTGCTGACAGCTCAGAGCCTGGAGGCTGTTTCAGATTCTGTGTCTCCCTTTCTCTCTGCCTCTCCCTCGCTCACTCTCTGTCTCTCTCTCTCAAAATAAAATAAAGACATATAAAAAAAGAAATAAGAAGAAAAAACTGTGCATTGAAATGAAAGTATTTTAAAATCAGTTGTGGAAATATTCATAGCAGAAACTCTAAGAAACATGGAGGGTATCCTGACAAATCTGGGGATGCTAGTATTTGGACAGCAACAACGAGGATAAAATGTCCATTTTATATGTAATTCTAGCTTACTCTTTCCAGTTCTGCAGAATAATACATCACTTCCTTCCATCCCCATTCTAGAGCCGGATGTCTTGAAGGGCTTGGAAAAGGCTTCACAAGTTGTGCCCCAGTTGGAGTCCTTCAGGGTAAGCAGGCCCCGCAAGACTGGTGACTGCTAGCTCGGCAAGAGTTGAATTGGTGGAAGCCTCATTATGCCTCACCTCATTACCTTGGCTTTCCTTCTTTTAAACCTGTGCTTGGAAAATGTAAGGACATTTAAAAGAAAAATAGTAGCTCAAAGAGACCACAGCTGAATCAAATAAGTAATAGGGGCCATCTCATCACAGAAACTGTGAGTAGAAAATATATGCTATCTACCTCTGCATTGCCACTCATGGCACCTGATTTAACCTAGTAATTTGTCAACAAATGGAGGTAGCAAAGGACAGAGAGCAGAGGCAGGCAGATGTAAGCTCAAACTCACTTCCCTGCTGAAAAGGGAGTAGTAAGGCCTGCCTCAAAGAATTACTGAAAGGGTTAAATAAATCTTTCTCTCTCTCTCTCTCTCTCTCTCTCTCTCACACACACACACACACACACACACACGTGCATGCACAAGCATATAATAATTACCCAATATGGGAAAAGAAAACAAAAATTTTTATTTGTAACTCACAATTTTGCATGTTTTTCTGTTTTGCAAGAGATGCATCGCTGTATGGTCGACTGATTAACTCCATAGATCCCGAGCCATGTAAAAGTTCCTCCCACTGAGATTGTCCAAAAAGTGTGCCGCCTGAGAGGGTCCACATCAAAGCTATGAGACAGAGAGAAGTGAGTGAACAAAGATGTTCCTTTGATGCCAGATATTATTGTAGTTGCTAAGGTCATGCAGCTAAATCTTTATAAAACATGGAAAAGTAGTGTTGGACATACTCAAGTATATGTAGTCGAGATCCATTTGTTGATTGCTCTATTACATTGTGTAATCCACCAGCGTGAGCTGATCCTTGAATGAGGACCGTTAAGAATCCCACAATCATGACAACCATCTGAAATGCATCTGTCCACACCACTGCTTTTAATCCTCCCTGAAATGGAAAGAATGGATGTGAATTCTTGAAAAGGAAGGCTGCAAGTCTTCCAATGTTTTACAACCTCTCTGATGATGCAATCTTCCTTTTTTCTTTCTTTCTCTTTTTCTATTTCTTTTCCTTCCTTACTTTCCTTTTTTTCTCCCTCTTTCTTTCTTTCTTTCTTTCTTTCTTTCTTTCTTTCTTTCTTTCTCTTTCTTTCTTTCTCTTTCTTTCTTTCTCTTTCTTTCTTTCTCATTTTCATTCTCTTTCCTTCTTTCTTTCTTTCTTTCTTTCTTTCTTTCTTTCTTTCTTTCTTTCTTTCTTTCTTCTTCCTTTCCTTTTTTCTGTCTTTCTGCCTTTGTTCTTCAATAGTCATGGAGGTATTTTATGTGTCAAGTACTATGTTATGTATAGGAATAAAAATGGTAAGTGTAAGACAGGTTCCTTCCTTAACTTCATAGACTTTATAACCTGGTAGGAGAAGCAGATACCTGAGAATGATATAACTAATTATCTAAGATTGTGAACAGTGCAGTTAAGAAGGACAGGTTACTATGACAGCATACAGCAGTGAGTCCTGACCTGGTCTTGAAGAAGTGGCATCTGAGCTATGTTGTGAAGAATGAGTAGGAATTTACCACATACAGAGGAAAGAGTAGAGAGGAACAGCATGTGTGAAGGATGAAGATGTATGGCTGCCTGAAGAAATGAGAGAATGCTAGAATATATAGATCATGGCATATACAGAATGCCCAAAGGGAGGTTGCTGAATTTACTAGAGGCCAGAACACACAGAATGTTACAAGCCTACTTAAATGATTTCTTAAGAGCAATAGGAGAGCATTAAAGAGGGGTACCTGGGTGGCTTGGTTGGTAAAGTGTCTGACTTTGGCTCAGGTCATGATCTTGTGGTTGTGGGTTTGAGCCCCACATTGGGCTCTGTGCTGACAGCTCAGAGCCTGGAGCCTCCTTTGGATTCTGTGTCTCCCTCTCTCTCTCTGCCTCCCTCCCACTCATGCTCTGTTTCTCTCTCTCTCAAAAATAAATAAAATTTTAAAAAAAGTTTAGGGGTGCCTGGGTGGTTCAATGGGTTAAGTGTCCAAATTTGCCTCGGGTCATGATCTCACTGTTAATGAGTTTGAGCCCTACATCAGGCTCTGTGCTGACCGCTCAGAGCCTGGAGCCTGCTTTGGATTCTGGGTCTCCCTCTTTGTCTGCCCCTACCTTGTTCATGCTTTGTCTCTCTCTGTCTCTCAAAAGTAAATGTTGAAAAAAAAATTTTGAAAAAAAAGTTTAAAAAACAAGAGAGCATTAAAGAGATTTACATGATAAGAGATTTTGTTTGTTTGCTTCTTAGTGGTGTCAGGGGTGGTAGTGTGGACATCTGATTGCTGGATCATGGAAAGAAAAGAAGGAGTAGGAGATATGCTCAGAGTTAATTTCCATGTCTGTGCTCAAGATGACAGAGGTTTGAAGCAGGGGAGAGATGCAAAGAAGTAGATGAATATGAAAGATATTTGGGAGGTCAAATCAACACAACTTGTGAATAATTGAACACAGATTCTGAGGAAGTGAAGTAATTGAGGATAATCACCTGGCTCCAGTTTTTACAACATGAAAGCTAGTCTTTTTAATTGAGTGACAGTGAATAAATTTAGGGGAACTGAGATGGTATAAGACTGAGAAAGAGGAAAAGAATGATAGATTCCAGGCATTCCTGGAGAAAGGAGTTTTAAGAGGTAGAAGATGATGAAATACTGAGGTGAGCAAAGCAGATTCTCCAGAAAACCTGAGGATCAATCTAACAGTAGAACTCAGGACAGAGACATGAGACAAGAGGTTAACATGGTGCTTATCAAAACCATATTCTCTCTAGAGTCACATAAAGAGTTTTTCTTTTTTTTAATGTTTATTTGCCTTTGAGAGAGACAGAGCGCAAGTGGAGGAGGGGTAGAGAGAGAGCGAGACACACAATCTGAAGCAGGCTCCAGGCTCTGAGCGGTCAGCACAGAGCCCGGCCCGCGGCTTGAACCCACGGACGGTGAGACCGTGACCTGAGCTGAAGCCGGTTGCCCAGCCAACTGAGCCACCTAGGTGCCCCACACTAAAGATTTTAAAACAAACCAACCCCAATGTCCCAGCCCCAACCCCAAAGATTCTAAATAAATTGATATGTGGGTTGGGACCCAGCCCTGCATGTTCTCTGAAAGCTCCCCAAGGATTCTAAAGTACAATTCTAGTTAAGATCACATGGGCCGTAGGAAAGGAGGTGAAAAAGAGGCTGCTAGAGTAATCCAGGTATAGAATCCCTCAGGACCACAGTGAAGGTGGAATGAGCAAACTGGGAAAGCTTAAATGAAATGATATTTTTAAAAAAGTGCTTTAAAAATGAATAAGCACTATGAGAATGGAAGGAGATGGTATTTTTAACATTGAACAATAGAATTATCATCCCTGGTTACTCCTCCAGAGTGTCAAGAACTTCTGTGAAAAGATGACAGGCTTCATCTTTATCTGGAGAAGAAAGACATTGGGGTCACCCTATCATTTCTTTTGTAATTAAAATGTAACTTAATAAATAGACATCAAAGTCTGTCCAGAGGCCTTGCATTTATATATTGTATTCACATCCTGACTTGAGAAATAATCAATACTTACCTCCCACCTCCCAAATAGTGGTATTTTGATTTTCTTTAAAGACATTAAGGCTTCTAAACCCAAATCAAAACATTAGATTTTAGCGATAAGAAGACCAAATGTCAAAGATCTCAGTTTCCAGAGGATACTGGATATTGGTTATGTTAAAATACGCATAAACCTGAACTTCAGTTAGACATGACACAAAAGAACAAAACACTTTATCAAATGTACATCAAAAGGCAGATTATACCCACCATGAAAATTTCTCTGACTCTATAACTCATACAATGAGACATACACACACACACACACACACACACACACACACACACACACCCAACACCGATCTATAACCCTGATCATGATCATGAGATGTCACTGATGCATTTAATCAGTCTGTGATGTTTGAAATCTAATGTTTACTTCACTAAATTGCAAATCCTTGAATGTCAGGAATCACTTATTGTTTTAATCTTCCACTGGTTGTCTTGGATTATGCTGTGCATTCACAGGATTATAAAGAGTTTGCAGTATGAGTAACAAGTGTAAGATAAATAAGCCACCATTGTAGTGAGATCCAGAAGCCTGTAACCTGCCTAGAGAGAGAAGAGATGGGATGGTAAGGGATTAAATGGGCAGGTTGATGTACATCAGGAAAGATTTCCAAGACTAGGCTAAGAGGCTTATACTTTATCCTGTGAACAATGAGAAGCAAGAAGAGAATTGGGTCAGTTAAGTGGCATGAAGAAATGGGTGATTAAAATTAATCTTACAGGCATGCAGAGTGGAGGGAAGCACTGAAAACAATTAAGAGGCAGTAAATTTAGTTCATTCTAGCTTATTGTGGTTATTAAAGTATCCAGACTTGTTTCTGACATCTTACTTTTTGGTTTCTATTTGTGTCTTCTCTATTTTTTTTTCCATTTTTCTTCTCTTGCTTAAATCACTTGAGGTTTTGTTTTGTATTGTTTTAATTCCCTTTTCCCACTTTGAGCATTTTATTTAAATGGGACTTCTTGAAATTTTGTCGTAAATCTTTAAGTTGAGTCTATGTTTAAAGAATGTCTTAATTCCCAACAATTCAATTATAAAACCACCAAGTCTGATTACTCTCTTCCTGATTTACATGGTATTGCTGTCCCAATAAGGGCTATACTTTTTGTTAATCCCAAAATTCCATCTAATAGTAATTGGTAGTATTAGTATATTTTATAATATTATAAATTATAATTGTATATGTAAATTATACCATACTAAATAATATTCTTTAAAATTAAGTACCAAAAATTATTTGACTAGACTTATTGTTTATATTTTATTTTCTTATTACCACTTCCTCCATCTAAAACTGGGTAATTTTCCTTTTTCCCACAGTACTTCCTCTAGCTTTTTCTCAGGGGAAGATATACTAGTGGTAAATTCTCTTGGTTCCTGACAGTTCCCGAAAGTTAGTTTTTTGCTGAATACACAATTATAGGTAGACCATTGTTTTCCATCAATGCTTCGAAGATATTATTTCACTGTTTCTGCCTTCCATTACTGTTGCTAAGAAGTCTGCCTTCAGTGTCCCTAGCAATGTATCTAGTCATCCTTGTAGGGGTAGATGCCTCTGAACAACTAATCTGTCACAAATCGCCAGATGTATATGGAGCAGAAGCTTATTTTTAACATAGATAAGATATATGTGTCTGAAATAGAGAGAACTAGGGTAGTGAGGATAGCATGAAAATAAAAAGATAAAAATCAGCAGTGCAAAGAAATAGTGGAATTTGAATGTATGAAAAAGACATGGGGCATTTTTAAGTTGTATTTTTTCATAATATATGTTCAAAGAGTATGTGATATGCACACAATACCAAAATCCATGGATGGTCTGCTCTAAGACAATATAGGATGACTTTATTTTCCTCTGTAGAGGAGAAAAGAAAATCCAGGTATCTGAAAACCACTGTCATATTTTTAACTGGCTCCTTACAGCCTCTGTATATGGTTGCCAATGACTCAGAAGAATAAAGATTCGCATTGTAAGTCATGATAAATAATAGGTGCTCAATGAATTTTTTCTGAACTAAATTGATTTTAACAATTATATAAATATGTTGCCAATACCACCCAACTTCCTTGATTAAAGACTGAGCATGTATTAAGCCAAATGTTAATGTAATCCATGATTATCCATAAATAACAGACAAAAACAACCTGTGGAATCCTCAAGTTTACAAACTACTAGCATCCTTGATCATTCATAGATGCATTTTGTCTTTCTCAGTCACTGGGCAGTGAAATATATGCTACCCTATAGTTCTCAATTACTATTAACAAGCACACTTTTTTCTCCACAATTGCATATGGTCACTTATCCTCTGATCAAGGAGGTATTTCTTTCATTAAATCTTTTCTCTGCCATGACTTTCTCGACTGAGCCCAGAACACCAATTTTACTAACAGTACTGAAAAGAAATTTAAATAAAACAACAGCACCTTCCTCAGGAAACTGTGACAGATAAGCCAGCATATTTCTATTTAATTGTGGAGTAGCGATTTCTGCTATAAATAGGTGCCCGCTTGTTGGAGATTTGCCCTTATCCCACATTGGGAGTTGGTGCTAAATACTTTTTCACAGTTAGATACATACCAGGGTACAGTAGAAAGTGCAAACAATTCCTGTTGCAAACACAGAGCCCCAGAGATCAAACCCAGTCACTAGAAAAGGAGAAAAACATTGAAAGAAGTTTCTCTGAGAAGAGAAAGGTACATGAGGAAAAAGTCACAATATTTTTGTCAATGTTCTTCATGGCCAAATGGAAATCAAATTAAAATTTTCTCTTATTAAATTCACCTCTGATAAAGAGTATGCTATTGAATTGCTATACTTCAACTGCATCTCTAATTTTTAGATAGTGTTAAAGGCCAAAGTTTTTTCCTAAAATTCAGTAACTTCCAGTTTTTTGCACCAACTGTTCACTTTTTCTGAACAGATTTTTGTCTGAGTGCTTTGAAACCACCTGAACATCAGCCATGTAAATATTTCTCAATATAAGCACCAATAAAATGATTAAATTGAATATTGAAGACTTCTAATATTATAGGTATCATTTATGAAATTTATTTTAATTCTTTAAATTTTTGTTTCTATGATTCTATTCTCTCAAAAAGGTCAAGTATAATTCTTAAAATAATCACTACAACTACCTTTTACACCTATATTCAGACTACTTCATGAAATCACTGAGACAGGATCATACATTATCAACAAATTTGGTGATTATGTGTATGCAATACCAAAATTGCCACCCTTTCAGTGATTAAAAAAATAAACAAACAAAGGGCAATCAAACTTGGTGTTTAACCGTGTGGGCAAAATCAAGCAACTAATGATTTCCATTATTTTCAGTGTTGGAATTTTTGGAGCTTTATGCTGTGACAACTACAGCCACGAGAGCCCCATAACCACAGGAATGTCCCCCAAGATGTTTTATATTTCTCAAGGTGTACATAAGCATACATACAATGGTAAGCACCCAAGGGAGTATGGGTAACTCACCTTGATTGAGCGCAAGGGCAGGAGCATACACCACCACTCCTGTGTAGAGAATCTAGTGGGGAAACAAGAATCAGGTGAATAGTATGAACAGGGACATGGAAGGGAGAGCAGCCTCAAAGTTTCCTTATTGACCTTAGAGAGGCATTTCCCTCAACATGTGCACTAGACATGTCACTGACAACCACTCTAATGTTTTTTTTTTTTTACAAATAGTTTATTGTCAAATTGGTTTCCATATAACACCCAGTGCTCATCCCCACAAGTGTCCTCCTCCATGCCCATCTCCCCGCTCCTCCCCACATCCATCAGTCCTCAGTTTTTGTCAGCATTCAAGGGTCTCTCATGGTTTGCCTCTCCTCCTTTCCCCCACTATTTCCCCCCTTCTTCTCCCCCATTGTCCTCCGTTAAGTTCCTCCTAATCCTCCTATACGTGCAAACATATGATATTTATCCTTCCCTGCCTGACTTATTTCACTCAGCACTCTAATCTTGAAATCATTGATCATTGTCATCAGTTTGCAAAGGGTTTAATAAGCTTTAGATGGAGGGAGAGCATTGGACTTTTAAGATAAATGTTGAGATTTTTATGGCTAGCTGTGGTATATTTCTGAAGGACACAAAAATAGGCTTCCAGGTAAGTTTTTGATTTAACCTTTCCCCACCCACCTCCCTGCCTCAATGCATATATCACAGTGACTCAGCCTCCTTTTTGCAACTTGCTGAAATATGGCTTTGGGAATGGAGAGAGTACAGTGCAGGGAAGACTATCACAACGTGGGTGAGTTCGTCTTTGGACTCCCAGGGTCATAGTCACCACACTGAAGGGAGTGCAGCCCCATTTTCTTTTAAATGGGATTTCACCATTTAGAGACTCCTTTGAGGGTTTTAAAAGGCAAAAGTGTATGCGAAGCTCAGGGAGTGCTGCTTTCCTCCTTTTCTCTTAAAATTCTTCAGTCGGTAAGTGGGAGTTTTGATCAAGAAAGAGAACAAGATTATTTTCTAGCAAAAAGTACTTAATGAGTCACGGGAAGTGCACCAGCAGAGTGTCACAGGCAAACAGGGGGCAGCATGAAGGAGCCCAGCGCCTAGGAAGTAGGAGAGGAATCCAAAAGGGGAGAGAGGGAGTATGGCCTTAAAATGATTTTCAGCAAAATGGGCATTCCTGTTTCAACACAGTTCACTAGTGAAAAACCAGTGACTGGACCATCTCATATCCAAAGTAATGTGTACAAGTGAAAGAAAAGTTTTAAATAAAGTTTTAATGCTTTTTGTTCCTTTGTGGTTTATAATATACACTTACTTGTTATTTATTATTTGGATGGATATACGGGGGTCTGCACAATGCGGATACCTCTCAATGTAATCACGTGTCTGGCAAGTGCTATCCTTGGAAGAAAGTAGTTTCCTCTTAGTGTTAAGTCCATCTCTTAGTTTCATGAATTGCCCCCTGAAGTAAACAAGCCCATCTTTTGTCACCCCACACTTTCTGCATGTGTAGTGGCCCTCTTCTCCTTACCGTCTGCACGATGTAGATGACAGTGGCTGCGTAGCGTACTGGTTTATTGAACCGCAGTTGTAAGTACTAGAAAGAACCAAAGAGAATGATAAGCAAATAGCCGGTAAGATTTTACAAAAAGCTGCTCAGAAAGTTCTCATAGTCCTCTATGTTTAGCGCTTTGGATTTATAATATGATGTTTTGCTGTACATACTTGGAAGAAAGGAAAAATATGGATTGATTGAAGTCAAAGAAATACCAAAGCTCTATTAAAGCTCAATTTTTCCTTAAGCTTCTTATGATAGAGAAGATAATGTTTTTATTTTTAAATTTTAATTGCTTGAATAAAAACCCAGATCCTCTGGCTTTCTACCCAGGGGGTCTTCCTACTGGATATACTGAAGCCACTGTTTACTCTTATATCCCATTGCCCCCAATTTAGCCCAGACCTTTATTGCCCCTTACTCATGTGACTGCGGCAGCCCGCAGATGATCTCCCTATTTCCAACCCTTGCCAATCCATTCCATCAAGCATATATCTGGCACGTTGTTTCTGCTACAGCAAGGCTCTAATTATCTCACTCTTTGTCCTAAAATCTTCAATGATTCTCTATCATTGACAAAGTTCTTATCCACCCTGGATATTCTCTCTCTCTCTCTCTCTCTCTCTCTCTCTCTCTATATATATATATATATATATATATACCCATCCTATCTTAAGTCACACCACTAACTCTCCCATTTTATTTATTCTTCACAAAAAATCACTGTAGGCTATTCAGTCAACACACTTTGTACTTCTAAGAATTTTTTCGTTTGGCCAGACCCTTCAATGTGAGGGAAACTCTCCCCCTGACCCACTCAGCAATTCTTTAGTCATCTTTCAAGAAGGGTGACCCATCTGCAATTCCTATTCTTGCCTATACTTTCTCCTTTGAGCTCTGACAGCAATTATATTAAACTTTTTTCCTAGAAGGCAACACTTGATCACCTGCTGTCTTGTATATTGATGTTGGATTCATATATCTCATTGTATCTGATTCCTGAGACTACTGTAACAAATTACCACAGATTTGATGTGGATGAAAGTAATAGAAGTATATTCTCTTGAGGTTCTGGACATCAAAAATACAAAATCAATTTCATTGGGGCCAAATCAAGGTGCTGGCAGATTAGAAGTTTTAAGAAAGAATCTTAAATCACTTAATGTTAAAATAATTTTTCTTCCTTAGACTCTGGTTCCATCATTTCCATCACAATGTGGCCCTTTTGTCATATTGCCTCGCCTCTTGGCTGTCAAATCCTTCCTCTGCTTCTGTCTTACAAAGGTACATATGACTGTACACAGGGCCTACCTGGATAGAGCCAGGATAATCTCTTATTTTAAAAACCTTAAATCATCACTTTTGCAAAGACTTTTTAAATCATGTAATAGTCATAGGTCCAGGGATTAGAATATTGACCTTTTCTAGAGGGAAAGGGATGCATTTTTCACCCTACCATACTTAACTTCCCTGATACATGTAAACGTGTTCTATTTTATTCATTTTTATCTTCATCTTTCACATATTCATTCATTTATTAAATAATTATTACCTGACTTCCCTACTGCATTCTGACATGCGATAATACTAAATATGATATAATCTGTACCCTAGGGGATTTTACAGATCAGAGGAGGTGACCAATAACAAATGTATACTAATAACAAGTGATGTTCCAGGTATGATATGTGCTAGAAGAACTACCAGGAGCTGTGCATACATTAATAGCTGGATCTGGTTTATTGTCAGAGGTCAAGAAAGGTCTTTCTGAGTAAATATTCTAGACTACACTAGTATTTGTCTGCTCCTGCATAATAAACATGTACAGTGAACAAAATAAATGTGAAAGGTAGAAAATGGGGGCACCTGGTTTAGTGGGTTAAGCATCTGATTTTGGCTTAGGTCATGACCCCACAGTCTGTGGGTCTGAGCCCCACATCAGGCTATCTGCTGTCAGCATGGAGCCCACTTTGGATCCTCTATCCCCCTCTCTCTGCCTTCCCCTGCTTTCTCTCGTCTCTCTCTTTCTCTCTCAAAAATAAACATTTTAAATAAATATGTATATATTTTTTAAAAGTAGCAAATTACTTTAGGATTCAATTTCTTGGTAGTAATTTCTAATTGGTAGTAATTCTGTCTTACCTGCATTGAAGAAAAATCAGGTTTGTTTTTTTTTTTTTATTAAATCAGGAGTTAACTACTGGTTTGTTCTTTCCCTGGAAATGATACATAAGTGTTGTTTCATAGCATAAGATGGGTCCTTCTTTGAAACCCTAAAGGTACCTCCCTTGGCAGAAAATTGTTACTCAATTTCATACTAATAGACATTTCCCAATTTACCCTGTTCAACCCTTACTCCAAGAAAATAGTCATCTTCTTTGCAGACCCTCATTCTTCAGATGACTGTGTATGCATCAGGAAACAATCCAGCGGGTGTGTAACTAAGGGTACCAGATATAAGGAAAATATTCTTAAAGAAGTAAGGAAGTCAGTGAAGAGTTAAGTCTCAGGTGTTGCAAGATAGAAAATGGTGCAAAACTTTTGTGGTGAGGATTTAGGTTCAAACCATATGCCCTTGAGAAAATTCATTTACTGCACTAATAAAGGCTTTCTCTTTCTAAAACTGGTACTTCTAAGGCTCATTGGCTTAGTATATGATAATGACAAGTATAGGGTCAGGAATATAATGGGATATTAATGACTGTAACAGTCACTGTGGGTGCAATTCCTGAGTTTATTGGCACTCACTATTCTAGTACATGTTGAAGGCATCTAAATGCACCTGCAATCATTTGCTTAAGGGCTTCATGTCAGCCTTTGTACAGGGCAGGCTAGAAGTGCTTGGGGGTGTTATTGGATGAAAGCCAGTGACAAAGGGAGTTAGACAAACAAATATTTGGGCTTCTTTGCCATTGAGGAAGGGCAACCCTGAGACATGATGTGTATGTCTCCCAGTGATCCCAAGTAAGATTGAACCTCAATTGCTCACAGTGGTGACCTACTCAAAACCATGCCTTCTATAGGCTTCATTTCCTTTCATGTTTGAATTGTCACTTGCCTACCCATGTTCAATGAAATCATCTTCTCCCAAATCCTTGTCGCAGGGCTTGCTTCTGGAGGACCATAACTTAAAGGCACATATTATCCAAGTGGCGACTTCAAAAATGCTCATGTAAAAAGATGTGTCCTGCCAATGGGAATTTTTTCTCCATCATGTAAAAGAACTGAAGATAACCTACTAGAGGATGAGACCAACTGTGACATAGATAAACTGTCTCAACTGAGTTCCCCTAGATCCACGAACCACGAGCCAACCCATTAGCTGATGGCAGTTATACACAAGGTCCCAAGTGAGACCAGGAGAAGAACCTTAATATTTTACTGGACTCTACTGAGCCTAGACCAAATCACTGACCCATAGAATTGTGAGCAAATAAAATTACCATTTTTAAGAAATTTATTTTGGGGTGGTATGTTACACAACAATAGATGACATATAAAAATTGGTACCAGGAGGAGGAGAGGGCAAGATGGCGGAGAAGTAAGGAGCTCCGTACTTGCACTCGCGCCCATACATCACACAGAAAAGATCTGAAGCCATTGGAAACCTTACAAACCCTGAGAGATTGGGAGACAAAGGACGCAGAATCCACTGAGAGAGCTTCTAACGTGAGTGCGAACCGGGGAAGATAAAATCGGGCCGGGATCGGAGACTCCAGGGTGGGAGGCGATCCCCCTCTACCCTCTACGGGGAGTGAGAGGGGAAAAGGAGAGAGTCCGAAACAGAAAAACCTCTGCACGGGGGAGAAAAACTTCCGTTGGAAAGACCGTACTTGCCAAGTACGTGCACACCAGGTCCCCTCGCGCCAACTGGTCCTGGAGGGGGCTGAGCAAACAAACTGCTTCTTTGTGCTGCTCCTGGAGGCTAGACTTCAGAGTGG